AGAAAAGGAGGTGGGGGTATTTAAAGAAACATTTTAATTGCAGGAAATAAGCCGCTTACGTAGCCCTCTCTTGCGTACGTTAATAAAAACAGCCCTCCTGTTCTGAAATAGCATAGTAAAAGACTGTACGTACGTATGCGGAGAGATGCGCGAATGCGCATTGGGCCCTTTAAGGATGGCAAAGTATGTTGTTCGCTTCTTCTTCTTCTTCTTCTTTTTCTTACCCTCTTTCGATATAATATGTCGTCAAGAAGCATAAAGAAAGAAAACGATTTTTTCACCCTATAGCTAAGAATAATCTGAAGAATTGACGATGCGACAAAAATAAAAAAAAAACATAAAAAAAGAAGTAATTGAAAAATAGAATCGTTGAAACAACAACAAAAAATAGATTTATCTTATCCCTAGTAGCACAAAATATTGAAAAATATTGAATACATGTGTATTTAATATTAAAAAGACATTAAGGGGACACGTCACCTTCGAGTGCAAAAAAAAGCGGTTTTTTTGTGAATTTTATATTTTTTTTTGTGAATTATTATACATTATATTAATTATATTATATATTATATTATATTATATATACATTATATTAATAAATTAATATACATTAATATTAAAAAGACATTGAATCTCTTTTTAATATTAATTACACATGCATTCAATATTTTTCAATATTTTGTGCTACTAGGGATAATTTTCCTTATTCTATTATAATCAATATGGTTTTCTACTTTTATTCTAAATACTTTTCTTTTTCTATTTCTAATTATGAGCAAATCAATAAAAGAAAAAAAACAAACAAAAAGAAAATATAAAAATTTGATAAAATCAAATTCTTATGAGTATCGTCAATCGATCGACAAAATAAAGATCACAAACGATTCATATAGATAAAATATGAACAAAATAAAAAATAAAGAAAGAAGCGAGTCTGTAATTGGGCATCGAAAGACGATATTTTTTCTCTCTTTCACGAGAAAATAAGGTAAAATAGAACGAAGGCTCGATCTTGCGGATTACAATAGAAAGAAGAGCTTGGAAGGGTGAAACAGAGAGAGAGAGAGAGAGAAAGAGAGAATGTTAGTGCTGCTCGCGCAAGTTTACGATATCCAAGTTGTAATGCCACGTGGGAAAATGGCAAGGTTGATATGCCGATGGTATGGCTTGTTACCGAGGTGCCACAAGAGGAATGGCCCTTCCCTAGGGTAATATCGCATACAATTATGTGTCTATACGAACAAGAGAGAACATGCATTATGTATGTGCGGTCTGTACGATAGTAAATCATGTCTTCTTGGGCATGGTTAACTCTGCAAATGATCTCTTAGATCTTTTAACATTTAACGCATGAAATATATTTAGAATAAAAAAAAAGAAAGAAGGGAATAAGGATTGAATATTAAGGGACTAGAGCGAGAGAGAGAGAGAGAGAGAGAGAGAGAAAATTAGTATTACAGAAAAATAATTAACGCCATGACATAGAGCACACTTTATTTCTTAGTTAATGATAATAATCATTTAGCATTGACCGAAATCGAATATATTTATATATACATATGTATATATATATGCATACACATATACATATGTATACGTATACGTCTATGTATATGTATATATATATATATATGTATTATGTATCGTATATTCTTTTGTATTTGACTTTATTTTATATAATCGTAATAGATTAATTTACCAATATAAGTGTAATTAATTGTAATGTATTGTCTGAAAGTATCACTGCGTCGCATCCACTGGCCGTCTCTCTTTTGTTTATATATTTATATATATTTATATATTTATATTTTTTGTATTTTTTCAACATGGTTATGACGGCTAACGAAAGGGCTCATAAATATAAAGGAAATAGAGAGAGAGAGGAATAAAGATAAAAGAGAAATAAAGAATAAATATATATATATATAAGTGGGATAAAAAGAAGAAAGGAGGGAGAAGGATAAAATACAAATCACTGTAACGTTAATCCTCACTTTTTTCGTGTCTCCCGTAAATTCCGGTTTTTCTGACGCTTAGAAAATATAAGTGGATCCCGGTATTTTCGAGAAACATGAAATCACTCTCTCTCTCTCTCTCTCTCTCTCTCTCTTCTTTTTCTGTCAAGTCTCATGTGGTAACGTACATGTTTAGAAGATTTTGTAAACCAAATGACAAGAAAAAAGAGAGAAGAAGAAAAAGAAATGAAAAAATTAAAAACGAAAGGATAAGCTTTTGAAAAAGCTGTTTAAAAGTAGATCGAAAAGATTTAAAGTTATGGTAGAGAAGATAATAGAGAGAGCGAGGAAGAAAAAAGGATAAAATAGGTACAAATTTTGGTTTAATAGATAATATTTTGTCGTGACCAAGGATGCTCAGTGATATTAATTGTAGAAATCGATAGATCCGATACGTCTAATCGATTTCTATTGTTAGTTAAGATTACGATCAGAATGCGGAGAGCCTCGTTTTTTAAACGTGGATATTATTTGAAATTTCTAACATTTCAAAAATTCGTCTTTATCTTTAAATAAATAATATGAGGAATTGTTTTGGGATTATAATAATTTGGTATAAAATGTAATAATTCAAGTTCTAATTTGAATTCAACGTTCGGCATACTTTAGCACTAGTCGAATCTAACGCAAATCGAAATATCTGTGTATGTATCTCTATGTATATTTATTATGTTTGTATATATATATATATATTTCGATTTAACGAAAAAAAATCAATTGCTTTATTAAATTTTTCCACTTGACTAAAAACGCAAGTTCTCCGCAGAACAATATTTTCAACATTTAACAATAGCCAACATTTATAGAATAAGAGATACCGATTGTTTTTTTTTTCTTTTTTAATTTTTATATTATTAATTTCAGGTGTCTTCTTTCTTTCTTTCTTTCTTTCTTTCTTTCTTTTTCTTTTTCTCCCAGGATAGTCAAACGATCTTTCTATTTTTGTTATGTTAATATTATCTCTTCTTCTTCTTCTTCTTCTTCATATCTTTTTGTTTTGTTATTTAAATAGTTCTGATCTGAACGAGAACGAAACAATTAATATCACACATTTAATTACTTCTTTCTTCTTGTCTTTTTTTTTTTTTTCTTTAAACCGATCGAGATCTCCCGTTGTAAGATTATTGGTCCACTCGATGTTGTTGGTGTTTTTTTTATTACAATTTTTCTTTTTTTTTTTCACGAACTATTTATTCTCGAAATCATTTCTCCGTCACCGTACCACAGTGTTTCTCAAATTATGACGCGAATTAACGGATGCGTTTATTCGCTTATTCGTCATCGAATAATTTTAATTGATCGAATTGACAATCTCTCAACAAGAAAACTTGAAATTTTCAGCTCATATTTTTTGGATTTTTGGATTTTTATTGCTATCGTACGCACGAGGTTGCGAGTTTCTCTTTTTTCTAAGAAATAAAAGCATAAACATTCGAATTGGTCGATTATCATACACACACATATCATACTTATATATATATGTGTATATGTAAGACGCATGTATATATACGAATTTGACGACCAATTCAAATCATTCGAAAAAATATACTTTCGAGATAAAACTCGAGCCTCGATGCCCTTCTAATTATTTTAATCGTCATAATTACTTTATTTGTTTGTTTATTTATTTTTTTTTTTTTTTACTGTTAAATCTTGTTACTCCTTTTGTGTATTCAAAGCTAATTGACAAAATCTTCGGACAGGTACTGACATATGTATATGCACACGGTGAACTTAAACTTTCTATGTGGCCCAAAAGTGATTTTAAAAATCAATTACATTCCTTTACACGAGACATTTTAAAATAAGTTTTAATTTCTTTGTCGTTTATTTAAGATTGTAAGACTACTACAAGCCCAACACGAGTGTAAAAAGTTTCAAACTGGAATAATAAACTTTTAAATATTACGTAGAAAGTTTAGGCCAACCTTGTATACATATATCATCGGACAAGCCAAGTTTCAAAAGCGAGATCTTCCTTTAACATTGAAATGAGAAAACAAATTGAAAAAAAAAAGTACTATTATTTTATAATAATATATTAACCCTTCTATAACGGCATGCAATCTGATGAAGCCATATATATGTATATATTTCGTATACTTTAAATATAAGCTGAATTTTCATTATTACAATATAGTATAATTATAACAAGTGGGCTAAAATTTCTTCAAATTGGGCCAGACATTTCTAGGTAATTTAAAAAATGAATTACTCTATTTCGAGGCCATTTTAGGCTTATAATTAGGCTTGTAGTTTTACAAGCTAGGCTACGATTCAATATGAAAAGAAAAATGAAAGAGATTTCATAATCTCGAAAAATAGTAATGGATTTTTAAAATCACCTCAAAACTTTTGGCCCCGACTGTCTATCCAAATTTTGACATTATGCGATTTTTGCGTAGAGACGAAAAAAAACAAACTCTTTTATAGAGGGTTAACAAAATTAATATTCATTTGCATGCGATGCCCCTGAGGTATTAGAAAGATATATATATATTAGACCGATTGAAAAAATTTATTTATCGCTCGCATTTAAAAAAAAAAAAAAAATGGTGCGTACCCAAAAAGTCCCGCGTTATATTTCAAAATGTTTTTCCTATCTTCTTTTTTTCCCCGGTCATTATTTCTCTTTTTTATCATTAATCATCACTCTAGTCATAGTCTCATTATTATTATTAATCTTACTATTATTATTATTATTATTATTAATATTATTATCATATTATATTATAATATTTATAAATATTAATATTATTATTATCGTTATTATTATTATTATTATTATTATTATTATTATCATTATCATTATTATTATTATTACTTATTATTATTACTGTTATTATTATTATTATTATTATTTCCTAAATTTTTCTTTTGTTTTTATTTTCTTTTTCTTTTTCTTTTTGAGAAACACTGATCCACAAACGCAATATTTCTAGCAATCGTTTTCATCTTACAAAGATGTTAAAATTACAATTAAATTCACAGCGTTAAAATGAGACATACATAGAATATCTCGAAATTTTCATAGAAATGTTGCACATATTTTTGAAAAAATTGTATCGATTGTTAGATATCGTTCGTGTCAATTTTTAAATCGTTTGTAACGATCAAACAGTATGGTGACGGTAAAATAAGAATTTGCGAATATCATCGAGTACTCGACTTTAGAACTAGCAGTTTAATTTTCTGATTGATTAATTAATTAACAAATTAAAAAGAGACAAAGAGAGAGAGACAGAGAGAGAGAGAGAGAGAGAAAGAGGAATACATTATTAAACCGAATTTCGACTCCTAATATATATATATATAAATATATAAGATGTATGTATATATATATCTATGCATATATAATATATACATATATCATGATAATAATCTCGTAAGGTAAACTGGAGAACAAGTAAAAAAAATCAAATTCCGATGAGTATATAAAGTAGAGTCGAAAAACGGTTATTACGATTTGTTGTTTATTTTATTTTTGTCTTTTTTTTTGTTTTTTTTTTAGCGTTTTCATTTCTCCCAAACTTACTGTTAGATCAAACGAGAGATCATTCATTCTGTAAAACCGAAAATACGGCACAAAATTCAAAATCATTGCTAAAATCTTATACATATATATATAAGATTGTATTATATATACATATGCGAAACGCAAACAGGAATGATAAAACGGTGAGTGACGATGACGACTTTGAAAAGAAAACAAATGAATAAAATAACAGCAATAACAAAAAAAATATGTATATATATACATATATATATATAAAAAGAAACAATTTAAAACAATCGTCATCCTTAAATGCCATCGTCTTGTGTGACCGTATTTCGGCTACTTATAAGTAGAATTAATATAATATACATATATATATATATGTATATATCTAATATCATTAAATTTATGCTTAACAAATATCGTTCGAAGATTACTTAAAATCCACGTGTGGCAACAGATAATCAAGTTTTTTTTATCATTTACTTAATTGCTTTACTTTTCTTTTCCTTCCCTTTTTTTTAATTGTATATTTTTCTTTCTTTCTTTCTTTCTTTCTTTCTTCTTTAATTACTTTCATTGTTATGGCGGTTTTACTCTCATACATCAAAGTCAAGAATAGAAGGAAATAACTAATTAATTTAATGCAATTTAAACCACATGCTTCTTAAATATATTCTTAAAAACAAAATTATCCCGTTAAATAAGCTATTACGAACGTATGAAGTAACAAAAGAAAAGAAAAAAAAAATATATGATGTATATATAATATTAAATTGGCCAAATACGTATATATATATATATATATATATATATATGGTAGATAATATTTTCTTTATATATTTTTTCTCTTTCGTAATAAAAATTATCTTGTATGAACTGTAATAACAAATATGAAAATAAAGACTTCGTGGAAGAAAGATTCGCCGCCATTTCGAGGTTTTCGCTTAAACTAAACTCTAATCGTAAATTTGTTGTTTAAACACGTCTTCTACAAAAAGGATTATTACAAAAAAGGTCGTGCTAAACGATCGAGGAAGAAGGGTTTCAATCGACTTACGAGAAGAGAGAGAATGGAAAAAATTAGAAAGAAGAAGAAGAAAAAGAAAAAGATAGGATTAGGGAGGACAAAGGACATTAGGGAATGATATTTAAAAGATGAAAGGAAAAAGAAAATAAGAAAAATACTACGGAGGTAAAGTGTCATTAAATGCAAATGAAAAAATTTTCAATTCAATTTCTTCTTTCTTTTTTCTTATATCAACGATATAATTTTTTTCTTTTGCATTGACATGGACCAACGCAAGCCATACGAAATTTTTCGATGATAATGAAAAATAAATAAATAAAATGAATAGAATGAAAACGAATGAAATCTATTTTTGACATGATCGATGATCTCGAAAGAATAAAATAGATAAATTTATTCACGAAACAAATGATGAAATCTACGAATGACCAACGAGAATGATTTTTTTGTGCGGTCGAATCGCGGGAGTTATTTTGAAATTGTTCTATTTTTTTGGAAATAATAATTATTATTATTATTATTTTGTATTATCGTTGAGAATACGAGGACAGATATGAGAGATAAAATGAATGTAAAGAAAATGAAGGAGATAGATAGATAACCGCCCCCATCGCAGTGGACTATACCGTAGTAGGTACTTTCATAAATGCATGCATTTATGTATGTACGTATGTATGTATGTATGTATGTATATGAATGATCGGTGTTTAGTTAATAGCGTGTGTAATAACGTATCTGCGTAAATCTATATATATATATATATACTTTGTGAGAATGTATCCCGTGTTCGTCTGGGCGCGCGAAGGTCCTTCTTAATGTCGATAAAAGACACTATTATAACGTTATATATATGTACATTATTAACATGCGTATAATTGAGGCTATTCTTGGAAAAAAAGAAAGAGGAAGTGAGAGATAGATAGAGAGAGAGAGAACAAATGGGATATAAGAGGGAAAGAAAGAGACAGAAATAGAGTTAGAAATATAGTCAAGGATGGGGATAGAGATAGAAACACTTTTTTGAGGATCGTTTAAGAAAAGGCTCGTTAAATCATAACAATAATGCAATAGATAATACCTTTTCTAATCTCTTTTGGTGTAATTCTATGCTAAATTGAAGAAGAGAGAAAGAGAAAGAAAGAGAGAGAGAGAGAGAGAAAGGGGGGGAGAGAGAGAGAGACATAATAATAACAATTATTATTATTAATAATTTGTCGTGATTAATAGACGCTAGCGAACGACTTTGCAAGGGTCTCTCTTTGGTAAGTCAAGTTATCCGCTTAATTTTAGGGAAGCGGTACTACGACTTGAACGTAAGTCACAGGGAAGTATCCTTTGCGTCCATTTAAGCTACCTTCATACCAATTTTCATCGATCTTTTGAATCAGGGTGATCGTTTCATTTTCCTAGAAAAATATATGTATATATATTTTCTTGAATTGTGCAATATGAGCATCATATTATTTTTTTTATTAACCCCTTAAGGAACAATTTTGGCTCAACGTGATACAACGCCGCTCGAGTTAACTCGAGCGTGCAACTTAAGGGGTTAATGTCGCGATTTAAAAAAAAAATCATCCTATTATGTGTTAAAACATTAATATATTAACCTTGAATCCAAGTTCTCCCTCATTCTCAGGTATAAAATCGTATAGAGCCGTGCAACATGGTTGTCTCGCCATTGGCGTCCTTGCTGGTGATTTGCTCGGTGATGGCAACGGTGAAGCTGAAAGAAATAATAAATAAATAATACATAATAATTAATAAATTATAATAAAATAATAATGTTAAAACTAAATTTTTCGGATTATTATTTATTATATTTATATAATAATAATAATTTATTTAATGCTGTTTTTTTTTTTTCATTTAGCCTCGACAATTAACCCTCTGTAACGTCATGTAACATATGAAGTCACGCATTTCCATAACATATTGTAAATATATATATATATAGATTACAAGGTCTATTTAAGATAATCCTATTGTTAGAAAGAAATAAAAAGAAATAGAGTTAAAGAGGATTAATTTTTTTCATAATTGTGCGCTTTTGAATGATTGCATTATATGCTGCATTATCATAATAATCTTAGTGTAAATTGGTATTAGAAAAAAGTGAAACATTAAGTGATAGATTACGTATACAAAGTGCAAGGAAAATGAAGAAATGATAGGAATAGTGGCCGAAAAAATGAACTGAATAATAATTCAAGGAAATATGAAATATATATATCTAGAACAAATTGAAGGAGAAGACATCTAACGATCACAAAAAATGATTAGCATGCTGACAAGATCAAAAATATATTATACTTTTTCGTGTTGCTTTCTCGTTAATTAATAGTTCAATAAAATGATAAATTAATAATAATAATAATAATGGAATGCTAAAAGCGAAAGGATAAATAATTGTTTAACTTTCATATGACGATTGATTTTACGCTTTAGGACGATAGAAAAAAAAAAAACAGGAAAGCAACCCCATGCAAAATTTACCATTGGCGGATTGCGGCGGATTTCCGGCTGGGAATAGTTCGAGCTGCGAACGCTTCCCATCTCCATGGATCGGAGAACCGGCTCGACTTGACCCTACATCGTGTCAGAAGGACAGACATTCAAGTATGCGACAAGTAATTCAAACTTACACACCGAACGATCTAATGATATATGTGTATGTACGTGTATCGTCATTTAATTATTACACAAATGAAATCTTTAGATTATTGACACGGATTTTAGCGAAATATTTCTGATTTCTTTTTTCTTTTATTTCTGGACAATTCTTTTACGTTTAGAATATATTTGGAATTAGTAGAAGAAAAAGATAAGCGAAGAAAGATAGAAAGAGAAATGTGTAAAACATTCGTATGCATGTATATATGTCGTATGAATTGTACGGATTGTATATAGATGTATATATATATATACGTGCTGATAATAGAACATTAGAGAAATATTTTTACGTTTGTCCGTGGAGTAAACGTAGTTGTATAGAATACACGCAAACACGTTGCATTATAGGAGAGGAGACAGAAAACAATTAAAGACACATCTAAATCAATCACCCTGAGACACGTGTTTTTAGTTAAATTATTATACGATCATAGTCATATGTATGTTTGTGAAATGGCTTTTACCGTGAAGGGAGAAGTTCCCACCGTTCATGGCATCCGAAGATGTTAAACCTTCGACGTGTAGATCAGCAAATGGCTTAGGAACGAATTCCATTTTTGGTCTGACCGCTGCTTCTTCTTTCCTAAGAAAAATAAATAAACCAAAATGATTAGGGATATATAAATAATTAATAATAAATTCTGAATCTTAATTAATACTACAATTATTACTTACTTCTCAAAAAGTTTCTCAGTAAGAACTCGCAAAATTTCGGTGCATTGTTGATGATATTCTAAAAGAGCTTCGCTAAAAGTCGCCAATTGAGCCACTTGTTCGACCTAAAAAAAAGAAAATGGTATTAAATAAACAATCTTATTAAATAAAATGCTTAGAATACGTACATAACCATGACTTACATCGTTTTCGAGCAAATTAAACATGCCCAATTGTGCGAGATGAAGACTCTCGACAAACTTTTCTTCGGCTTGTTTAACCTCGTCGTCTGAAAAGTTAGAACCTGTTCGCAAAAAGTTGCGCCGTTGGTCTATTAAAAAGTTGCACTACAGTGTTGCTCAATGTATATTACATAATATCAATCATTACAACATAAATATTCTTAATTCTACGGAAAAATTCGATGAATGTTAACAGAAAGGAAAATGAAAATGAAAATGTGCATATTATATGAATTGTGAATGAAAACAATTATTACAGTGATGTTCGTAAATGAAACGGTGCATTGGTGTAATTGTTAAAGCGATAATATAGCTATGTTTGTAATATATTGTATATATACACGTATATTGTACCATTTGCATTATTGTCACTGGCATCAGCTTTCTCTGGAGAGTTTGGCTAGCTAAATAAATGCTTATTGGCCAAGCGATTATCATAAAATGATATATATAAAATCGCACTCGACAAATATTAAATCTATATTAACAAACAAAAAATGAATAAAGAAATACAAAAATAAAGAAATAAAAGTAGTATACGCAGTGATACGTATACCAGCATAGAACCACGTACCAGCATAGGGTGCAGTTTTAGCTGGACTTCCAAAGTGTGGGCTTCCCGATCTTTTTCCCACAGCTATCGTTTCAAAGTAGAAGAAAGAAAAGAGAAAAAGAAAGAAATACAGGAAAAAAAATATGAAAAACTTGAAAGAAATATAAGAAAAAACATAATTAAAATGATATTATGTGTATGATTCGCGTAATATAATCTTCAAATTAATCGAGTTAATAACATTAATATCGCATGCTGCATTCGTTTGATCTAATCTAAAATAATATTATGAATATCTATTATAAATAACGAATGTAATGGATCGAACATCATTGAACGATTCAAATGAAATATATCGATCAATCGATCCAAAATATTCCCATTGGTTCGAATTGTAAAAAATATTTTATACGATCATGGATTTTTGAAGTCGCGTACATTTAACAATAATAATCAATGATGATGTCTGAAAAATATAAACGAAAGGATCGAAAAAATCATGATAAAATACCTTTTGCTTGACGTCTTCGCTTGCAATCAAAGTCCAATCGCCTTCCCTGAAGTTTCTTCCGATGGTGCTACAAAAAAATGACAAAAAAAGAAAAAAGAATAGTTAAATAATTATATTAGGAGCATCCAAGTATTTTAACAGTAATATTAAAAGCACTCGCGCGCGTACCATTACTTCCTTGAGATCCTTGGTCTGCAGATGATGCAACGGTTCCAAAAAGTTTTGCTTTATATTATCGTCCAAGGAATATTTTACGTCAGCCATTTGCTTCATTGCATCACCCATTTCAATAAGAGCCTGGGCTACATAAAATTATCATAAGAATAAGAAATGTTCTTGACATACAATATAATATCAAAGATAAAAATATTAAACATTGTATTATTAATCACATTAGAAACTATTCAAATATTTAAACTCCGCGCGTTTGGAATATGCAACACTTTATACCCAGTCGGTAATTAAGATCGTGAATGCCGTCTTTTGATAAGAAACTTTTTTATACCCTCGCAGGCCATATTACGTGGTCTATTATAAGGGGACAGCGAATGCCCCTAATAGTATGCAACTTACTCCTGTTTTATACTGATAGATGACGCAATTATCAACCAAGTATGAAACATTGCATATTTTCAGGCGCAATTTGCTTAACATTTAAAAAATTGAATTCTTTTATTAATAGTAGTTATTTTAATGATTAAAATAACGTTAATTACTACTATTGAATATACTTGTCCGTTAAATTTATTAGTTACGATATAAAAATATAAGAAAAACTCTGATGTTATTCGTATAAACAAAAAAATCATTGACCTACCAAAAATACTGTCCTCGCCTAATTTTTTTCCATACATGAGCATGCAATCGCCAAGAACACCTTCGGGTTGAGGGTAGGTCGAGGCCTTTGCTTGGCCGCTGAGTTTACTAATGCCCTTGACCGCCGCCATCTTTGCTCTCGCGGTTGGATTCGGTTGAAGAAATTCTTTCGTTTTCATCTGCAGTTCTTCCACCAGCTCGTTAGTCACGTCTGTTTTCTATAAATTCACGATAAAACTTCGAATGAAATAATCTTTTTCTAACGTCATTTACTTGATTATTTTCTTTTTTCTTTTTCAATGATTAATACGTGCAAAGAAGGCAATTTATTATTTGCAATTATAACGAATCAAGTTGTCACTTACGTAAAGATGAAAAAAAAAAATGTAAGGATACTTTGAAAGGGTGTAAAAATGGCATTGTTAGCGTTAGAGTCTCATAATACTTTCGTGGCTCCCCATAATGGATTGACTTTTATAACTGGCGGAAATTAAGGTCTGTCTCTTAAAGTAAAGAAAATATCCGCTCACCCTCTCCATATCGACGAAGTCGACATCGAGCTTAGTCCCCTCGGCACCGCCCATCTTCTCGGTCATATACTTGAAAAAGAAAGACGAAATAAAATGAAAACAAATTGGCATGCGTCAAATAAATCTATTTAATTATCATTCTAAATGATATTAATTGATGATACATTATAAAACCATAATCAAACATATACCATTATTTAATGATTACGACACTTATTCGTAGATACTGTTATTAAACACTTGCATTGCATAAGTATAGCAAAGACAACATACATATTTTGTAACATAACTCTACAGACGTCCCTAGAGTAAAGAGTTATATCTACGATATAAAGTACCATTAGATGTTTGTACTCTCCTATAAATTGAAGTACGTAGAGGACTTGAAAACTACAAGAGTTACAAGACTCTTGTAAAATGATATCACAAATGAATGGTTCCAATAAAAATGTTTCGAATGAGAATATTTCTTTCTTATTCTCAATTGAATGATTTATCATAGAAAAAGTTAAGTATATAAGAAAAAAAAAGAAAATTTATATACATAGAAATTGGTACTTGTGAAGAAGAGGACTTGAAGAAAAGAAGAAATTGCGAAAGAATTTAATTGTATTTTAAACAGAGATCATCCTCCATAGACGACGATAGGAGATATTTTTTTGCTAAGAGCTTGAAGGATATCTTTCTTAAGGGTAATGATGAACGGGAGGAATGGAAGAGGTCAAAAGGAGAGAAAAATATCGGTGACAAGCATAATGGACGAGTCGGATCGATAACTTATATAGTAAGTAGTAGTCAGTCGGTTGATCTAACGTCGTGACGTGCTCTTGAAAATTTGCCAGCAAAGAAGGTAGACAAAAAAGAATGAATGAATGAATGAAAGAAAGAAAGAAAAAAAGAAAGAAAAAACGATGCGTTTTATGCCAAAGAAAATCGTACATACGAGTCGTATATATTTTCTTTCTTTCTATCTTTTTCTTTTTTTTTTTTTTATCAAAGAATTACATCACATATGCGTATGTTCTTCCGTAACATATTCCTAATATTTCTTGCATATATTATACATACAAATAAATATGAATAAAAGTAAAAATATATACAAGATAAAGAGTTATGCATATTAAATGCATACATATTTACATATATATCAAATAAAAGTCGATATAAGGGTTGAAAATTAATAGGAAGAAATGCGTATGTAATAAAAAAAAAAAAGGGAGGAGGGATATATTGCCGGGAGGTTTGACACGTAGTATAGCTAGGACGACGACTACTACTACTACTATGACGATGACGACGACGATTGTTCAGGAAAGCTTTCCCTCGTATGTGTGGCCGTGACCTATATCCATTGGTGACCTAGATCGTAAAAGGGGTTGAGAGAGAGAGAGAGAGAGAGATCCTTTACGCTTACGCGAAAACGTAGCCATCGTGTAAACTCAACGTAAATTTGACCTATATATTCGATGCAATGTCTACTTCGATGTTTGATTTGATCATTCTCTATTATGTATTACATATATTCTATTTATCGACAAGTGCGATAAAGTTACGTCAGCGGAAAACATATATCTATTAAACGCATTTATTATTCCTAATATAGATATACAAATATACAAATCTCATCTAAGATGAGACCTATAGATGGACAGACTACCTAGCCACTATAAAAAGAAAAAAGATCAGAGAGAAAAATAAAACAAAAGGTCGAAGAGAAAATATATCATATATATATATATATAGGCTATAGGTCGAATCTACTTCTTCGAGTTTGCTATCTGTATAGAGTATATAAAATACAATTAAGGAACGGAAAGTGAAGCGTTACCTATGCACCTAACACGGATCACCTAGGTTTGTTTTCTCTCCTCTACACACCGGTTCGTCTATTGGACTCTACTCTTAGTCGTTCATTCATTAAAGGTTCGCTGATGCAATTAAAGGACGAAGGTCGACAAGCTTCGATCGCTTCTCTTTATTGTTTGTATTCTCTACCTATTATCTATCTTTTCTAACATATATATTAGATATCATTAAATTCATTCAACAAAATCCCCTAATTTCTATATTAATCTCTTCTAGGTCTTTGCCACATACGTTAACAAAATGAATGAGTGTAATTCATTTTTCTCTTTTATTTGATTATTGAAATAATTTATTTTGATGACTATAAAATAATATATATTATATTCAATCTTTATGTTACTATATATATATATATATATATATATATATAAAGAACAATCTCATGTTTGTGTAATTGTCTCGTTAAAGATATTCAAATTGTTTAGACGAACATAATGGTAATCAAATGTCTTTGAAGAAAAATAATAAATTTAGCAGAAATAATATCGTTTGAAATTGGTTGGTTGGGCAACCGATTAAAATTTCAGGGATGCTCGCGCCTCGGTATCGACCAAAGTTCCTTCAAATGAGGACCGAGTAGGATGATGGCTCCTTTTCATTCTTACGAGCATTGATAATGCATATATACTTGCATACATATTATGAGTAAGCGATTATTGAGGCTAAGGATTAAGTGAAAAATTAAAAAAGTAATTAATTTATCGTACAACTCATATAATCGTCGTATCATTGCCATACAAATTATTGCCATTGCCATACAATTTTTGTCCATTTCTGACTTACGCGGTTAGCGATATTTATGTTTAGTTTACATAATCGCCAGCTCATATATATAACCGTTATTACAAATGAATTATCTTAGATAAAGACTAAGGAAAAAAACAAGAAAATGATTAGGATTACCTGATTAGCTTTGTTGATTTGTTTTTTTAATCCAGCGAACGCCATGGTGTTGGCTTGGTAACTTCTCTGTCAAATTTCTTAAATGAAGAAACTGATCTGAAACCAAACATAAGAAAAATCACGTGAAATATTAGGATTATTTCATTTTTTTGGTAAATACAATTATTAATAATTAATCATTGATTATAAAAATAATAAAAGAGAGATGAAATATCGAATGTCTGGCTAAAAGCCAAGAGATTTGGAACATGATCTTCAATGTTATCGATCGTCCACATTTTCACCTACATTCAATTTTTGATATAATTTTTGATATCCCACACAAACAATAAAAAAATCATTTATACACACATGCACATACACACTCATACACATACACAGTAGAATAAATGAAGAAAAAGAAGAAGAAGAAGCATGTTTGTATCTTAATCTCAATACCTCGACAACTTCGGTTCCTTTCTTGTAATAGACTCTAATGAGAGTAAATGTTCTCTTAATGAGAAGAAACATTTTACATCTAGTCGAACGTATGTCTCTCTCTATGTTTCTGCTTATTTATTTCTATTTCTCTAAAGGGGAAAAATGCATTTGTAAAGGTTATCATAATATCAACATTAATTCGCAAATATATTTATAATTACTTTAATAAATAACTAAATAGTATTATTCGTATTATATATTTGTTTTCTAATCTTATATTCCTCGAATATTCAAAAAAGAAAGAGAGAAATAGAGATAAAGAGAGAAAGAGAGTGTTACGAAATCGGTGTAAATTATAGTAAAAACAGGTTGACTACTACATACAAGATGACTATCTAATCTACTTAATGATACGAATGATACAAAAGAATAAATGTCTCACCTGAAAGTTTCGTTGATACAAAGAAATTCAAATAGAAAAATCCTCTCGATTAACTAATATTCTCCTCTTCTCTTTTTGCGATACAAAAAGAGAAAGAGGCCGACCGAATAAGAGAAAGAGAAAGAGAGAGAGAGAGAAAGAGAAATAGAGAGAAATATAAATAAAGAAAGATAGATAGAAGGAAGAAAAGGAAGAATAGAGAGTATAACACGTCCGAGAGAAGAGACTAGAGATTCTCCGCGTGGGCTGACAACAGCAGCACCATCACCACTACTACTACTACTACTTCTTCTTCTACCACCGAGGTACCATCGATGGAAACAGCAGAAGCAGAAGCAGAAGAAGAGTAGAAGCGGCACCACCACCACTACCACCACCACCACCACCAACGCCACCTCCACCACCACTAAAACCACCAGGCACCAATAGAAGCACCAGTAATAGAACCACCATCTACTCTCCCAGCTTTCTCTCTCTCTCCCTCTCTTGCTCGACCCTCCCTCCCCCGCCCCCTGCCAGCCCCTCTTCTTCCTACTAAGGGTAGTTTTCTACTAGACGATCGATACATGGCCATGGCTCGATTCTCCCTTCCACTTTTCTCTATACACCAACCCCTTTGCGAGTATACCGGGTATTCATGAAATATAGCGCCGACGCAAACCCGCAGGACTAAAAGTCAACCCTCTTCCTTTCCCTCACCCGTTCCCACACTTATACAAACGTAATAAAGAGATGGAGAAGAGGGAAAAAGGGAAAGAGAGAGTGAGAAAGAGACGGAGCTTTGGATAATGGGAACGAGATACCAGCTAAATAATTAGACAAGATTTTCTCGATAGAAATGGTCATGTACTTCGTGTACTTCGAATCAAAGATCGTCAAATAAATATGTATATACAATGGAGGCCATATATTTACGGTCACTTAAAAAAAATTGATATTTTTATTACCAAACATTGCAATGTTATATGCAATTATACGATAGTCATTAGTAGGTAAACACTACTGCAACTACTAATGGTAAGTGTAATACTATGATAGCAACACATCTTTAATTATGTACAAATACTTCAAATGATCCATGATTCTCTCTATGTGATGTATGAGATCGATTCTATTAATACTCATTGCATCCCCCCCCCCCAAATAAGAATAGAATCTTTACCATCTTTGACTCTGTGGATTTAGTATAAATCTTTTTAAATTCTTTTCCTATATGGGGATCTCACTTATGTTTTTCCGTTAGAATTATATCGACTTTAGACCATTGTTCCAACGTCCAATAAAAATGTTCTTTGGCAAATGCAATTCTCGCTCGTCGATTCTTTTCCAAGATGAATAGTTTTTTTCCGCGCCACTCGACCCATTAAACCAAACTCATTTAAACGACGACGTATCGTTCTAACACTTACTTTTTTTTTTTTATCTAAACCAGGATTAATTTCTGAATGAGGATAAATACTGCAGTTTTAAATGTGTCTGTCTCGGAAAAGTCAATGAATTCTTTGATCAGTTTTGGCATCGGTTTTTCGTTGCTTAACTCTTTACGAGAAACATTATCTGTGGTTTCAAAACGTTCGATATAATTTATGGTTTGAAAATAGGTAACTCTAGATATTCCAAACTTCGAAGAAATTTGGCGATAATACTTTCCACTTTTTCGTAAGAATTGCATTTGTTTTCGTTGTTCCAATACGATATTTCTACCCTTACTCATATGTTAACATTCTATATAATATATCTAACTAAACGAATTACTCAATCAAGACTGATAAAGACGGTTTATTATTCCGTATAGTATCATAAGTATTTGACCATTACAGAAATTGACCCTTCAAACAGAACAATCATATTACTTCTTATTTCTTAATAAAATACGAAAACAATATGTACTCTAATATATTTACATTTTCAATTCAAATTTTAAATGTTACAATTATTTTATTTTTACATAATTTTTGGTTTAACTTCCAAATATATTTTTATCTTATCACTTAACAGAAGGATCGAATCTGTTCTGTCTTTCCTAGTTTCCGAGCATTTTTCAGGAGAATTAAATAAACATGAATGTATGAATTTAAATCGTTGTAGTTTTATTAAATCAATTATATTTCTTATAATATTTTATAACGGTATTTATACTTGTAACTGATGATATCATGAAAAAATAACAATGTGCATACAAAACAAAACCCTAATGCAACATACTAAAAATTCATGGAAAAACGTAGATCTACGTGGCCCATCCTAGAAAGTCACAACGGAAAAACGTAAATCTACGGGGTCCGTCCGTAAGTGTTATCCTTAAGTTATGACTGCTGCAGTATATTATATATATATATGCATATGCATATGTATAAATGAAAAAAAAAAATAAAAAAAAAAATAAAAGAGTAGTTCTGAATAGATCTGAGATGATCAATATGCGAATTAGATGCCAAAAAGCATCGGACTTAAAAAAAGAGAGAAAAGAAAACTCTTTCCCTTGTGAAGATCTTTCTTCATTTATTTCTTTCGATCGAAATAAACGATGATTTGACTAATGAATAGTCTATAGAAATTAATTAAACTCCTATTATCATCGAAAAGATTAATTATCAAGAAAATTTACATTGAAAAGGAACCGTATTCTTGGGCACATTGAATGAACGTACTAAAAGGGTTGAAATCAAATAATTTCAGTCTTTTCCAATTGTCTATTCTTTTAAAAGTTCATGTGCGAATGTTATTGACAGTCGATGAATATTGTGAGAGACGGGTCACGACCCCGGTATATCTGACATTTTAGACAATATAGTTTCATATATTAGAATATATCCTCGAGAATAAAAAAGAGAGAGAGAGAGAAAAAGAGAGAGAGAGAGGAAGAAAGAGTTCCTAAGGACGCCCACATGCCTTAGAAAATCCGTCACACTTTTCCTCTTCCCATCTATCTATGTTTCTTTCTTTTTATTTATCTATTTGTTTTAAAAGAAAAAGTCAAAGAAAGTGAATTCACAAAAGTGACCTAGTGTCGTCCACAAAGGATACAAAACGTGAGAAAAATCTATAAAGAGATTATATATATTTTTTTTTCTTTTTGTCTCTCTCTCTCTCTATTTTTTTTTTGTATAACCTTTTTTTATACGCTTATTTTTTTAAAAAGACTTTGAATAAATAAAAGTTCGTATGATCGTCAGCTCACCCACGTTTCACGACTTTCACGATGATAGAAAATTATCGGTTGATAAAATTTGTCGTTCTAAACGCCCCCGTAAATCCCGAACTTACATCCGTTCTCTTTCTTCGATTACCCCAGCATCATTCTCAGATAATAATCATTTAACGATGAATCTTTCAAGACAATTTTCAAATTGTTTATCTTTTTTATAATTTACGAATACATCAAATATATCGATCTTTGGAAAATCGATGAATAATTTCTAGCTTCAATCGAATATTATTGATTTTTAAAAACTTTGAAAATATTTTTTCAATTGTTGTATTGATTATTTTATTTTTTTTTTTTTATTTTTAATATATCTCTAAAGAGAATAGATGAATAATTTATAACCGTGATTAAAAAGACGAAAAGATCGATTTTCGATCGAACAATAATTTCTCGAGATAAGTTTTATAGATCAGAGTGATTATAAATACCGATAACTTTATCGAGATTTTATCGAGATAGCTTAGGAAAGCGAAAAGATTCACAAAACATTCACAAAGAGATAATGATAAAAATGTAATTTCAACAGAGAATGTAAAAATCGTCTGGTTTGTAACTAGCGTATCGGAGTGCATGCCTTTCCGGTGAATATTTAATAATTCGTCATTAGAGTTTATTAATCGCTATAGAGAACGGGATATGCTTGCGTGAATCATTAATGCTTGTAAAATCCAACGATATGTCGCGAAAAAGAAATGTACTTTATTCTTTACAAAAAAAAAATTCTCAATATGTAAAATGAATAAATTAATAAATTGAAATTATTTGTAAGTATAAATAAAATATTTAAAAAGAGCAAAGATACATGTAACCTAACTCTTTTATATTTACTATAAGAGACCATTGGACCGACATATTCTCTTTAAAGACTAAACGTTTAAATCGATTTCCTTTGTGAGACAAGTATCGTTTGTAAAGTCTCTGTTAGAAAATAATTCAAAAATGAAATAATTATGAAAATGATCTTTGTAATATATAAGGGACGATCGGAATGATCGCGGAGACAGAAGGGAGAATGAAAAAAAAAAGAGAAAGGGAGAAATAAAAACGAGATGAGAGTAAAAATTTAAAATCCCAAAGCAACGGTGCGGTACGACTCGACCAATCAAATGCTGATGCGGTGCGTAGTCGATGACAAAACATGGCGTCTTCGCGAGGGCATTTGTTTTCAATTTAAGTCGAAAATCGACAAATACGAAAGACGCATCTATTAATCATTCATACGTTTATTCATACATTCGAAACATTCCAAATGAAAAGACAGAAAGAAAAAAAGATTTGATTTTCGAATTATTAGATAAAAAAAAAGATCTCTCTTGTGTAACTAAGTCAATCACTCACATGTAATTCCTTTTTTTCTCTCGTTTCTTCTTTTTCTCAATTATATTAAATCTCCAAAGTATCGAAACTTTTCGATTCTTGACACACACCAATTGAACCTAACTATTTATTTCACTCGCTCGTAAATCGATTTACGAGCGCCAGTAATTGGAACAGGGCTAACCCCCTGCCGAGGATTTGACACAGAGACAACTACAGCTGTTTGTAGTTTGCGATAATAGCGTTGCGAGCGCTGGATCACGTGATCCTTCACTAACTACCGGGAAATTTTAAATTCTATTAATTGTGAGATATGAGTAAGTAGTATTATATTTCTTTTCATAGAAATAAACGATTGTAAAATAAATATTTTTATATTAAAAATATGTAGACGTATTATATTGCGTATTTTTAATAATCACACGATTTTATTTATATTCACATTTTGTGATCTATCCTCAACACGATATTTTATGACCGTGTTAATATTTTTTCAGTGGCGACATAGGTCCTTTTATAATCAACATTATTAATACAGTGAAACAGGTAGTATCATACAGTAAAATAGTGCCGTTTTACAGTAGAGCATGGTAAAGCTTTTTTTACATGTTGCATTGGTATGTGTTAGTTTGTGTGTACGCGCACGCGCGTATGTGTGTGTATATGTGTAGCATTTGAGAAAGTATCTTTTATTTTTGTCGACCACATATTTATTTCTGATTTTCTTTTTTAATTATCATTTTTTCTTCATAGTACTAAATCTCGCAATCCAAGACATGAATTAAGTTCCTCGTTGACATCAGGATTAAGAGCGCTAAACAATTGATCGAATTGATCATTCCCCATCGTTCTTCGTAATTTATTAAACTAAAATAAATATTATTTTAATGGAATGACACTCTCTCTCTCTATATATATATAAATATCAATAGACAATACTTTATCATCAATTTAAATTATGCTTCTTACTTGGTTAGTGAGCGTATTGTGTAAGGACAAATTGTGAACTGGATCATTGTAAGCGAGTCTCTTTCTTCTTTGTCCATGTTCAGTTTCATAATCTACATCCTCGTATTGAGATGGACTAAGTTGATCACTTAACAACAGAGAACTGACAAAATAATGATTGTTAATAAAAAAAAATTTAGAAATATCATGTAATTGATAGTATAAATATTATTATATTACAAATGAAAAATAATTCTTACTCTGTAGGACATCCAGCATCATCGTATTTCGTTATATCGTTAAGAGTTTCAACTATATTAGATATAATTAATGGAAAATGTTGGATAACGCTTGGTAGACTATTAGCCTCCAAAAGGGAACAAAGTGCAAGAGCTAATAACTTGCGCTGTTCAGGTTGAGAAACATTAGGCATTCGTTTTACCCAAATATATACTATTTGTCCTAGTACAGCTTCCTCGTATGCTTCAACACTTTTTGATAATTCACCGATTACCTGTAATTATTTCTTTTACGTAATTCGTATACACATATTTCCACATATACATACATATATAAGCATATCATATATCTATAGACATAATAAATAGTATAGAACTGTCTATCACCTGTACAAAAATATTTCTACAACAGAGTAAAACTCTAGCAACAATAGACAAACACATAGTAGTCATAACCATTGGATATTCTTCGCCTTTGTAAACGCTTCTAAAAAATGGATAGTTTATTATTTTTATTAAATCAATTTGAGAAGACTGGGATGTAAGGCATTCCTTATAATTTCATTCCGCTTAAACTTACTCAAATATTTTCATTAAAAGAGGTTTGATTAATTCTGCACCTTGTTCGGGAGAAGCTTTAAGACATGTTTCAAACAATCTCAATATCGCAACAATACCTTCCCAAGCTAAGTCTGTTAGAAGAGATCTCAATGTATCAATTATTACTATTCCTCTTTGGCAGAGAAATTCTTGAGGACTTAATAATACATATGCTTGAAGTATGTACAAACATAGTCTTAAGCTTTCTGTGGATGATTCTGTAAAATAAAATATGTAAGTATATATATACACATATACGAGTATATAATAATATCCAATGTATATAGTTCTATGCATAGAGTTATATTCTGTCAACCTAATAAAGGTGGCATGTTTCGGAAAAGATCCATTATCTCTGGTGTCGGTGCTGGCGCATTTTCCAAAAGAGCTAACCATAATTCTAAACCATCTTCCAACAAATAAACGTGTCCTTCTTGATTAACGTCACAACTTAGGTCAACAACACGCACTACCAATGGTTGCAACATAATGCTATCCGAGCCTAAAGACTATAAAAGAACATTTGTTTTATTAAATTTAATTATATATGGTTTATTTTGTTATTTATGTATAAATTCTGATTTATAATTACCTTTTCCAAATGAACTAAGGTTGTTACTATAGAGCATCTCAACATATTATGATCTTCAGATTGTTGCCATAATAGTGATAAGTATGAGTTAAGAGCATTAACATATGGTTTGACATCATTTCCCACCCGCTCAATTACACAGGATAATACATAAAGAACATGCATCTATGGTATAAAAGAAATAATCGGTTAAAAAAATGAAAGAACAATTTCATAATAAAGATATAAGGAGTGATCATACTTTGGTATCGCATTCGGTAACTTCTTTTAGCAAAGCGAATAATAAGGTAAACGTAGGCTCCAAATAAGGTGTAAACTCTTCTTTTCTAAATTGAAAGTCATCTATACCAAGTTTTAAGGCATCGATAGCTGCCAAACGAACACCCAAGTCTTCTTCTGGACTTAAAGCTTCTATCATAAGTTTATAAAAGTCTGGTTTCAACTTAGCACTTAATTTTACACCTATGTAACAATGATATCATCTTATGAATATATGAATCTTCAATTATAATTTATATAATTAATAGTACTTTTTTATCACGCACATTATCATGTTATATTTCATTATCTTTACTTACTTGCCCATCGACCAATAAGCCAACATACGCGTCTTCTAATAATTCTGTAGTTATTACTTTTCTCTTTCAATTCATCCTTTAGAGTTGTTGAAAACCATTGATCAAAGTTAACCTAACGTTAAGAAAACATATTGACTTAATAAAGCATTTATATATTATTTATATTAAATTACATTTACATTGCAGACTATATATATTGATATATATATTTTATATTATATTTACTTCGTCATACAAATCGAAAGCTGCTAAACCAACTGCATTATACACCGCATCTTTCAACAAAATTGCAGGTAAATTATTTGGTTCAATAGGTTGATGATACCTATGTATCAAGTCGAGCAGAACAGAGGCAAGAACATCTTTATATTGATGGAAAACTGCCATAAATAAAAGTTGAGTACAAGCCTGAAATGAAATCATTATTATGAATATAAAAAGAAAAAGTTATGCATTTAGTACAAAAAAATGCATTAGTTTATACTTACTCTTAAATTATACTTCCATGGTTCACCTCCATCGTCGGCAGCTTTAAGAAACAAAGAATTTATATTATTTATAAGACGAGTAGAAAAAATAAAAATATATAGAATATATATAGATATATTAATGTTTACCTAAGTTCTCAGGATCAGTGTCCCACAATTCCAGGTCCGCGGGTGTTAGAAGGAAATAATGAGTAACGAGTCTTGTACAAATTTCGGTTAAGGTTTCGCGCACAAAAAATTTCTGTCTTAATTCATAGGCTCTCAATGTCAATGGATCTTTAGTCTCTGTTTTACATAATAAAAAATATGAATAATAAATTATAATATGATTAAATATAATAATAAAATTAAAATATATCACATTTTCTATTTAGATGATAAGGAACGAACAATGGTATATATGTACCTTCGATTACTTTAGCCGGTCTATACCCAACTGATAATAAAATAGATTTCATTAAATTTAAACATTGTATGAGAAATTTTTCAAAAGCTAATGCTTGACCAGCTTCCGTAAAGCAGTAAAAAACTGAGAATTCTAAAGTTGTAGGTATCAATTCGACGTAACAAAGTGGATGCATTTCTAATACCTCTATTAACACTTTGGTCAAATTAATTATGAATTTATCACAAACCTCCATTTGTATACCTCTGGAAGCTAATGTTTTACCTAAAATAAGAAAAGTAAATTTATTCGAATTAAATGATAAGACAAAAAAAGAAAAGGGCATAAATTATGTTATACTAACGCCATTCAAGACATGTACGTGCTCGCTCAAATATTACTTCTAAAAATAACATGGCATCTTGAGATTGAGATGGTTTACTAAATCCATGGACAATAAGTTTACGTAATGTTTTTAATAATAGTAATGCTTTTTCTAAAGATTCTTGTATTTGATTTGCATCTGCTCCATTAGATGCCATTATAAGAAATGATTCCGTATATGTATTCCACGTATTAAGAATAAAAGTAATCACATTGCTTGTTAATTCTTGGAAGAGTCGTACATCTGGCATTAAACGCTTAGAAGCTAACGCTTTGACAACATGATGCAATATAAGAAGCGCTCTATGCTGTGCTAAAGAATTTTGACCTCTAATAATATCCAAAAGCGTAGGAATTAATACATCCCATTCTCTGGGACAATCGAATCTATAAGAAAAAATAGAACAAAAGTAATAAATATGATTTTTAGAGCATCTATTATATTAGATATTTTAATATCTTACCTTGCTATCTTAGCAATGAGAACTGCTAATTGAACTGCTAATTGATTTACAGGTTCCTCAAAATTACTTATCAAACGTTGTCGTAAAAATTCTTTTTCGTCTTCTGCTATTCCACTAATATAAAAGAAAATAATTAGATCGTTCAATAAAGAAGTTAATCTTAAATATGATTAGTTTATGATAGCAATATAATATGAATATCTAGAAATTTAGAAATTAAGGTATAAGATACAACGTATCACAATATATGTGCAATAATCCTTACTTTGGTGCATTTTTTCTCCAATATCTATCAACGCCATTCTTAAAGTACAAAACAGCCATCCATCTAATATTAACATCAAAGGAATGATTTGAAAATACATTCTGAAACAATAAACGAAAAATTAAATTTGTAAATCAATATGTATACAAATTGTTTCCATGAAACGTGCTTAGAAATAAATTACGTTCATGATGAAATAACAAATACTGTAGACTAACATAATTGTATTCCTCTAGCAAATAACTTACATATAGAGCAGTGTAAAATCCTCTTTGAGTTTCCCATTGCTTTAACGTTTGTTCAGCTGGTTTTAAAACATTAGGATTTTGACTACCTGCCTGCTGAAGAACTTCTATCACTGCAGCATCCATTTCTTCCCACTAAATATTATAAACATTCAGAGACACATGAAATAGTTCACAGAGCATTACGAAAATGTTTACACATTTGTATATTATATGCTTGAGTTAATAAAACTTTTTTCTTTTCTCTCTTTTTGTTTTTTGTTTTTTTGTCAAAAGCAGTGTCTTTGAAAACAACCGATAGACATGCGAGATAATAACAGTCTTCTTATATTCCTTGTTACGATCGTAATAACATACGCATTTCATTAGCAATAGATCTATATAGTATTCAAATTCGCTTGAATATTCCTAAGTAATAAAATAAATCGTGAAAAATCACGTTACATCATTTTCCTTGTGCGAAGGTTTAGTCGTTACAACGTCTATAACCTATATACGTCCAAATGCACGCATCTCTCGCTACAATCTAGATTTGAAACCTACATTTACACTTAAATTGCATTCCATGCGTTCTTTTTATCCGAAATACTTGTTTACCGAGTTGATGCATTTAATAGACATAACGTAAGATACTCTAAATAACTTTTTCTAATATCGAATTGTTACACACGCCCGCAAATCGGCATTTCTATGTGCTGCCACTCTCTAGCCTATTTTTCTCCTCCGCGGTTTACTCACCGTCACACTTTATTACCGGTCATCCCTGAGGTGTAACACAAAAATATATATACAAAAATATCAAATCTATAGAAATAAGATCTATTATATATCTAAAACGTTTTTTAATTACCTATTACCGGTCTACATCGACTATATACTATAAGTAACGATTATTCTTTCTTACAAGTATTGCAACTATACATTATTAATCCTCTCCGCATGATCTTACCTATTAAATATCGCTTCTTCTGCATTTCTCTTTAATATGTTTTCCAAAGTTTAATATCTATTTATTTATTTATTTAATAAATAAATAATTATGGATAGTTTACAATCATCAATTAAGTTTAAACATTTGTAAAGAAATGCATATTTTACTAAACTCCGAAGTCATATGTATGTAAATATGTATCTATGTTTATGAAGATAAAATTTTTTACTTTTTACGTTTCTTTAAACATTTACATTATAATATTATTTCTTTTTTTACGAATATATTAATCCATAGATTTAATTTCTTAAACGAAACGCAAAGATAATGTTTACAAAAAATTGATTTTAAAATTATTAGGATTCCATATTCACAGGATATCCGGTTAGCGCGCTCTGGTGAATATATTTGAGTAACTCGGACGTTCTTTCTTTTAAGGTGTATGCGAGGAACTCGCACTTCGTTGAAAAATGAAGGTAAGAATCCAATAATATTTTAGAAATCTTACTTTAATTAAGCAATTTGATAACTTTTACAAATACTATGAAAATTTGCAGATATTTTATTTGCATTCATAATTTTCTCTATTTATATTTAGTATTGATTATACGAATCGTCAACATCATGTTGCCCCGACTTTTCGTGATTGTTTATTAGTGTTTAAAAACAATTATTATATATTTTTTTTCTGATATAATATAATGTTATATTTATTTAATAATAAAAGATTTCGATTTTAGTACTTTTCGAATGAAAATAGTTACCGAAAAAACGCGTTAGGAATACAATCCTAACCTCTATATTTATAACAACATTCAAACAGAAATTTTCATAATTTTAATCATTATTGATTATTTTGTTATAGTTGAACGTATCCTTTCCTGCTACAGGATGTCAAAAATTATTCGAAATTTCGGACGAGCACAAGCTCCGGATGTTTTATGAAAAACGCATGGGAGCAGAGGTAGAAGCCGATTCTCTTGGTGATGAATGGAAGGGATATGTTGTACGTATTTCTGGTGGAAATGACAAACAAGGCTTTCCAATGAAGCAGGGTATCTTGACCAATGGTAAGTGTTTTTTAAATTTATTTTTATGTAATTGTAGATATTATTTCTTTCCTTTTGAAGATAATATTATGATACTTGAAATAGGTCGTGTACGATTATTGCTGTCAAAGGGACACTCCTGCTACAGACCCAGACGTGACGGAGAAAGAAAACGTAAATCTGTACGTGGTTGCATTGTCGATGCAAATTTGTCAGTACTTGCATTGGTAATTGTGAAGAAGGGAGAACAGGTAAAATAAATCTGAAATTCCAACTGTTCCCTACTGATTCCATGTTACAAGGGTGTATGCAAGAATTACAAATAATCTTGAAATACTATCGTTGACATGGTAGATTAAAGATCGTTATAATTTGGGAAACTGTTATATTATTTCTTACTGTTTCTCAGTGTACTAACGAGACAATGACAAATTCAATTGAATTATTTTTATCAGATTAGATAATCAAAGTACCACAAATGAAATTTGTTAATTCCTGACAATTATTTTCACAAAGGAAATTCCTGGACTCACTGATACGCAAGTTCCACGTCGTTTAGGACCAAAAAGAGCTAGTAAAATTCGTAAGCTCTTTAATCTTTCGAAGGAAGATGACGTACGTCAATTCGTCGTCAAAAGACCAGTCCAAAAAGAAGGCAAGAAGGAGCGTCTTAAGGCTCCTAAAATTCAACGTTTGATTACGCCTTTGACATTACAGGTATAATAAAATAAAAGAAACATTTATCACATGTATCGAGACATTATCGAATTACTTAAATGATACTAATATATTTGGTTTATGTACTTACAGAGAAGAAGACATAGGCGTGCATTGAAAAAGAGGCGTTGCTTGGCTCGCAAAGAACAAGCTGCTGATTATGCTAAGTTGCTAGCTCAGAGGCAAAAAGAAGCAAAGAATAGACGTCAAGAAGAGATCAAACGAAGACGTAGTGCTTCAATGCGAGACTCTAAATCATCTAACCAATCTACTCCAACTGCCACGCAAAAATGAAAAGAGAATTAAAATGTTTTTAAAATAATAAAAAATTCTCTATATATTTTTCCATGTTATTCTTTACCCATCAATGAATAATCAACTATATGTGCTCATAGTTATGAAAGTGGTGTAAGTCAAAATTAAAAAAAAAAAAAGACTTTATCAGTTATTTCACATCACATTATTTTAAACTAAATTAATTCAATGTAATTCTCCGATATTTTCAAAAATGAACTGTTAGATAGTGTATGTTATTTCAATATTATATAGAATCATTTAGTGCTCGAATATAATTCTTTGAATATCTCAAAACAAAAGATATATGACTCAGACCACTTTCAATCTAAATGATCAAAATAGTAGAAGTAATAAGGATCCATGTAAAAGTGGATAGATACTATGAGAATGTATTTGTAAATGTAAAAACGACATTAAATAAAATCTCATTTGTTTTTTATTGGAAAAAATGAGATATCGTAAAATATTTTGTAAATTGACCAATCAACGAGCAAATACGAAACAAATGAACTAACAAATCTGAACTTTCTGATATTCCTAATTTATAACGATAATCGCATTGACGAAATTTTAACCATGTGAAACACTAAAATAGTTCTAATCTTGCAAGTAATAAGTCTATCGTGTATTGTGTGTTAATGTTATATATCAAAACTATGTGTATGTTACATTCTATATTTTATATCTAATGTAAAAAGTATATTCTTAACATTCATATCGTATACGACACTTATATTTCAAAAAAGAACAAAATAGACCAAAAAGATGTGTAACAGTGCAGGAAGACAATCTATTTCGGAAAAAAAAACCTTATCATCTCGTAACGGTTTAATGTCTGCACCATCGAGAGATGAAAATCCTTACGTCGAATCATCTGATTCTAAACTCAGTAAAAACGATAGAAGAAAAAAATTGTTAAACGAATGTGAATATTTATTGAGAAATCGACCTCCTAAGGGTAATCAGAAATCATCTTCAAGGAAATGTGATAAATCTTCGACTTCGTGTAAAAATGCAAATGACCTTGATTTCTCGAAATATTGGATATCAGGAGAACAATTCTTTCAAACACCTCCAAAGAATTTCAACGAATCCGACGAATGTAGCAACGAACAAGATTCTGCAACTTTCGTACAACTTTTTGGTAATGACGACGACGATAATATTTTTCAAAGTCATCGTCGTGTAAGTTCTAATGATTCGAAACTTGATGATACTTTTGTTGTCCCAACTAAAGAAAATAATGACGATAACAAATTAGATATGTTAAAAGATGTTAAAACAAGTTCACATATAGATGAAGATTTTCTTCATCGTTTCAAATTACCATTTTATCGGCCTGAATTAGAAAACGATAATAAAATAACAAGTAAGCCTGTTGTATCGAAATTTTTAAGAAAAGAAGATTCAAAGGAAACATTGGATTGGATTATTGATTTAGAAAAAACAAGAAAAGAACATTATTCTAATAATTTTGTAAATCATAAAAAATTGAGAAATTCATTATTAGATTCTAATTTCGCGATTGACACGAGCAATTTTAACGAAACGAACCGAACTAGTCCGAACAAGAACGTTCGGAAATCGAATGTAACCGAAGATATCCGATCTTGTTGTTTCGAATCTTCGAAAGAAGGATACTGCGAGGATGCAGTAATGAATATTAGAAAATCAAATTCTCAAGGTAAATTGAGTAGTTGGACGATTGAAAATATATCTGATTTAAGTATCGCGAAGGAATCATCTTTGAATTTGACGAATTCAACTCAGTTTATTCCAAATACAACCAATGTATACAACAATTATATTTATCTATCGTCAGAGAATTTAAAAAAATTCATTGATATAACAAAATTAACGAAATTACTGCGAAAAGGTGCACGAATTAATCGCATTAAACGGAGAACTTTCAAAAGAGTTAATTATAGAAGAAAAATTCATTTGGTCACTTCTCGACAAAGAAATCATTCGAGAAAAAACGTTTATGAAATTTTAGAGGGAATTAAAAACGAGCTATCGTTGATCACACAAAAAAAATGTCATGAAATATTACCGAATTCTATTCATTCTATTTTTACATCGAAAGTTCAGGAAACTTTGAACGAACTTATTACGAGGTATTATCCATTTATTTGAATTTTACTTTTTCGATCATAATGATATACTTTTTTCTTTTTCTTTTTTATGTTATATAGGTGTAAGAATTACATTTGTTATAATAATTACCGCGAAGAAGCTATTGATAAAATAAATGATTTATTGGGAAAAAACATAAACAATATTCAAAAAGTATTGAAAGAAGAAAGGCTCTCTCTGTCTAAAAAAAGCTTAAGAAAATTTACGGAAGGTTTATATAATTATTGTATACATTAATTAATTGTTTTTCTATGTTATGTTAAGTATGCATTAGTGGTAAACATCAAATATTTTTTTATACTTGAATACCTAACGTCAATTTTAAGTACATTTTTTCTTTTTGCAAATCTAACTAGGCCTAAAGTTTAATCAATTTACCATGAGAAGTATCTGTACCTTTTTTAAAGAAAAGTGCATAATTGCCGAGATATTCAAAGACGATTACTGTCTGGTGTCGAATTGATCAAATATGCATTTAATGATATTTTATTATATAATATAATTTTCTTTTTATTTTTCTTTTTCTGACAGAACAATATTCTACTCCTTTAGAATTGAAATTTATTAAGGAAAAAGAAGATTTTCAAAAGATAAGGACTTCAAAAGATGACGTAAGAGTTCTAACCATGAGTACTAAATTCTTTTTGATAAATATATGTGCATGTATAATCATATTTATATTTTTGTAGGGTAAGCAAACTTCATTAAGTGGTGGAAAGAAAATAATCGGTCGGAAAGACAAAGTAAAGAAATGGTTAAACAATATGTTGCTTTTAATCGATGATATTTCTATTATAGAATATAATAAAGAAAATATTAAAAAGCATAATCATCATCGAAAGACTTCTTGGGATAATCTGAAAAGAAAATCATCTTATAATAGGTTAGTTTATTTAAATATTCTAATCAAATATAATACAAGGGACTGTGGATAGGACGAAAAAGTGAAAAGAAGTTCAAAAGAATAGTATATTACTCACCTAGGGAGGTAAAGTAAGAAATGTCTCAGAGCACATGTTTGTTGACCTCGGCTTCGCCTCGGCCACCAATTACATGTACTCTGAGGCTTTCTTATTTACTGCCCATGGTGAGTATACATTTTTTCTGCTCGACGTAGGCGGAAAGCGGCAACTTCGTTTTGAACAGCGGGAGAAAAGTTCACGCTTTTCGCCCGGAGGGAAGAAAAAGTTATTTTTTGGGGTCTTTTAATAATAGGGATGTATTTAGTGAACTTTATAGGGTCTTTGATCAACTATTTGTTATAGATAAGTGCTTATGCATATTTGCGTGTAAATAATTAGTTGAAACATGAACGTCGAACACATTACATGTATGAATTGTTGTTTCCAAAAACTTACGATCACTGCAGTTAATATTTATCCGATTTTAGCATATAAATATGAAATCTTCACGTGACAATAAGTACAATTGAATAATGTTTATTAAAATTTACAAAAAAAAAAAAACATTTGTAAACATTAACATTTTTGGCAATTAAAATTAAAACAAAAGTTTTTGTTTTTATCTAAATTATCTTTGATTTTAAGTTCGGTATTTTGTTCTTTAACAAAATAATATCAAATTTAAATAAAATTTTACTTAATTAATAGATTTTTTAACAGTATAATAAAAATGATATGATTTCAGAATGGAAAGTACAAAGAATCGAGGTCAAAATATAAAATTAAGTTCGATAAAGAAAGAAAACCAAATGGAAAGTGAAATAAATGTTGGATCCAAATCTCGAGTAAATCCTTCCTCGAATGTTGGAAAAAATAAAATGATAATCTCGAAGAAAGATAAAACGTTAAGAGAAAAGCAAAATTGTTCAGAGAAGCCGATCGTTTGTCAATACAAATTATTCGAAAATTCAAATAGGACGAAGCAATCGACAGATACAATTTCAAATATTTCTTTTAGTAATAAGAAAGAAAAAATTAAAAATAGTGTTGGGCCACGTTTCGAAACTGTTGAATTATTTAAAGAGAAAAAAGCAAGAAAGGTATCACCGTCGATCTATCCTACCTGCAGACATCTTGATCAAATGAAGAAACATAATGGCATTCGTCTAAATCGGCAAGTTAACGTTCAACCCGTTTGGAAACCAGCTGGTGCTGTTAAACCGCTTGCTTCTAATCCGACTTTTTTAAATAATGAACCAATTAACTTTCGCTCGCAGACGTTGTTTAATAAAGATAATCAAATAGTTAAAAGGTAATATGTTTATATTACATATATACTTATCATAATAAACAAATAAAATATTTTCAGATCAATTGCTAATCCATCAGAGTCAACAGTCTTGAGAAGAAAGCATTTCTTGAAGGATAATCGAAGAAATGAGAATTTGATCGAGGAAGGTGTAAACGATTTATGCGAATTGTTCGCGTAAGTAATATTATTATGGTTTAATTACAGCATTAACTAATATAGTTATACAGATATATTTCCATTCATATTTTTCTTGTTCAGAAAAACACAAATAACATCGAAAGGACGAGAAGGTAATAGAAATTCGTCGAATATGTCTTTAATGAATGTTCGAGGTAAAAGTAGAGAATTAAATTTAACGAAAAACAAGTCTCAATCTAAATTGCATCCGCGTATATTTAATTTAACACCAAGGAATACATCGCAGATTTTGTTTAAAAATAAACAAGATGGTAAGTTACCTATGGCAAATAATTCTTCTACAAATATTCCTACGAAAGTTTTCATTAAAAATTATGAGAAAAATGACGAGATAAAGGACCAAATTCTAAACGGTCTAGAAAATAACGATAATAGAAAGTCATCGATGCATTTATTAAAAATTCATGATAAATTTCCTGCAAATCAATCATCAACGTATCAAAATCAAGAAACTGAACAGTCAACGAAGAAAGAAATGAAAGAAGAATCATCTAAAGAAAAATTACATTTATCTGATGAAGAAACTATTAAGATAGATGATTCCAATTATTCATCTGATGAAAAGACTATTAAGATAGACGATTCCAATTATTCACCAAAGTCAGTATTGAAAAGTTATGAAAATTTAGATCATCATACACCAATTGAGAATCAACCAAGTTTAACATCTTCCACAAATATTAGCTATAAAACTGATCTTAGTTCAGTATCTAATTTAATGACAGCGGCAACTGCATCAAAATGTTGTCAAGCATCATCTCTCTCTTCGTCAGAATCAAAAATCAGTATGATTTTTAATCAGTTTATTAAGCAAAATCAATCAGCAACGATTGATAAAGATTCTTTAGATATTTCGATGGATTATAATCGCGAAAAAGATGAATCGGATGAGTTAAGTGAATTGAATGATCGATTTAAACAAGATTCCGATGTAATTGACAATAATGAGAAAGATAAAACCTCTCCTAACTTAGTATCAAATGTCTTATATTCTTCAAAAATAAATGATACTTTGAAAAATCCTTTAAACAAACTTTCCATTGATACTACATTAAACATCAGTAATGATTTAGAGACAGAATCAATGAACTTAACGATAATGGAAAAGCTTCGATCTAACGATAATGAATCGATTGATCAGATGATCAATGAAAAGAAATCTAAAATTTCGCAAACTATATCGAATTTAAAATCGGTTTGCGATGCTTTTACTAACATCGATGATATCAAACCTAATTGTTTTGAACAATTCAATAAAACAATTATTTCTTCATCTCCCAATGAAATTGATGTAAATGTTTCATTGAAAGATGTTGCTACCGAAGTTCTTTCACAAGATCAATCGATACTATTACCAATTCAAATGATTCAAACTCGAACGAACGAACGTTCCTATAAAGTAATGAAAAATAATGCTACTAATCTAAATATAAATTTAATAAATAATTGCGATGAGACTGATACTATCGTAAACGTTGAATCCAAATCAATAGGAACAAGTGATGAAGAAAATTTAAATCATAATGATAGATGGGTAATGGAAACCGTAGAGTTATATTGCGAACAACCCAACGACAATCTATCGAAAATAGAAGACAAAGATCAAAAAGAAAATATTGATTCTCCTAATGATCAATGGGTTGATGAAACTGTAGAGTTATATTGTGAACAACCTAAGGATGAAAATGAATATAAAGAAGATAAAATTAAATTGAAAAAATGTAACAAATTGTTAGTCAAAATAAATAGTGGCGATGAACAACCAAACGATGAAAATGAATATAAAGAAGATAAAATTAAATTGAAAAAATACAACGAATTGTTAACAAAAATAAATAATAACGATGATAACATTGAAAAATCTACTTTATCTGAATCGCTGATGAACCAATTAAACGGTATCAAAGAACAATTGCAAAGTGTTGATATGCAATTGAATAAATTACAGGCGACCACAATTCAAGCTAACGATGTATTATATCGAATTGACAAAACCACTATCCCACTTGATTATAATTCTAAAAAAATGACTGTATCGTCGAATGATTTATCAGAATCATTGAATGAAAAGAAAGTAAAGAACGACGATAGATTTTCTAATGAAGATTTACGTAAATCTTCATTAATAGAAGCTTCGTTATCTTCTTGTCATTCTTTCGAACGATCATCGAAAATTTCAGAAGAACATTTTCAATTACTTAATACAGATTTCAATAAAATAAGTGATAACGTGAATACATTGCAAACGACTTCTCATTATTCAACAAATTTCTACGAAGTTCTACGAATTTCCGAAGATAATTCGAATGATAATCAATCAAAAGAAAGTAAAGAAAAGTTTTCAACAAAATCTAACTCGTTATCCGAAGATTCTCTAGAAAAATTCGTTGAAAAAGAAGAATCTATTGAACGTGATAAACGATTATCCTGTGAATATTTTAATGAGAATTGTCATTTTTACAACAATCTCAATGATTTCAACGACAAAGTCGAAAATATTTTGGATATGAAAATGAAATCACTTTCTGTCGAGAATATCTTTTGTGAATCTAAGCCAATTGATTATTCATTATCAAATGATGAATCTGACGAGACCAATAGTTTCGTCTTTGTTTCAAGGAGAAATTCAGACAACACGGAAGAGAAAGAAATGAAAATAATATCAAATGAATCTCAACATTCCATTTTTTTCAATACTAATAATTCCACAGGAACAGTATCAAATGCTTCGAATATAAGAGATCAAGGTTTACAAGTGATGAAGTACTGTGAAAAAGAGATATCATCTCCGAATCTTCAGAATGAAGAAGATGAATTTAATGATTTTCAAGATTTAGGTATTACTAGAGAAGGCTTACTTCTCTTGATCTATTTTACTGTGTGTTCCTTTGTATTTTTTTGTTTGAACTTTTCTTTTAATTGCGAGACGTTCATTTAGTAATATTAAATTTAATTTTTTTTCCGCGTAGTTGATATTACATATGCTCGTTAGATTTTCATGCATTGTTTTTCACGTATTTTCTCGTTACGTTTTTGTTTTTAATAAAATTTATTAAAACTTATTGTCATGTTTTATGTATTAACATAGTTTATAATATGTATATTAGTAATATATTAAAAAACTACTAAAAACTAAACAAAAGTATCATTTAAAACAAATAATATTAACAAAGATTATATGCGCAATTGCGATTATGTGTTGATACAAAAATATACCTTATATTTTATTATATTAAAAGTTACGAGATTCTTTGTATTCTTTTGTTAATTTTATGTTATAAAATTTTGATAAAATATATGAAATTATAATTATTATTACAACGATTCCTTTTTTGTTTCTTTTTTTTTTCTAATTTATCTTTCGTATTTACAAGAGTAAAAATATGATTTTTTTTCGTTAATAAATTTTCAATTTTCATCCAAGACCTCGATGGTAGCTGATCCAGTGATATCAACCAATTCTTTTGAAGCAAACGTAGCAATGATTTTTTGTTCTCCCAGTTTTTGCGGAACTAGTTGATGTTCGACATAAACCTCTTCCAGTGGTCCAACGTCCCTGAAAGGTAAAATTTTGTTTCTGGCCAATCCAGGACCAGCGTAATTAAATTTACAATTAGTTAATGTCTTTTTCAAAGGATTCTGGAAACTAAGCGTTATGGTAGTTGGTCTTCCAAGGATTGGCTCATCCTCGATCTGTAATTCATATATTCATAATAATTCGTCAGAACAACAAGTTTTGATTTCAGACGGATACTTTATTTTCGTTTAATTATCAATATCTAACCTTGACAGTGATATTTGGTTTGAGAACTTGAAAATCATCCTCGTCTGCCCAAGTTTGTTTCGTTTCTTTAACAGTAGCAATTGTGTAGAGTTTCATGATACAATATTCTACCAATTTATCCAAATAATCATCTACGGTAACTGTAAGTCTTAATTGTTCGTCTGAAACAGAAAAAAAAGAAGAAAAAGAGAAGAATAAACAAAATAATTATAGCATGACGAGTAAATAGGAAATGTTATTTTAAACGTTCCCGGGTAAGAAGAAAAAAATCGCATTTCCTAATCGATTAACATACATAAATCGTTATGTAATAGGTATAAGAAACATTAGCGTTTCCTATGATGCGGTTTGTAAACAAGGATTTTTTCAATTTCTTGTCATTTACAAGCACACTTAAAAATAAATGAGAAATTAAATATTGGTATAGCAAGGCGTAGTCGTTTATTATTCTAATCTTACTTGCATTAGGCTGAAGAATAAAATCACCGGAGGCTCTCTTTACCAAGTTTGCCTTGACACCAGTATAGTAAACACTGCCTGCGGATAATATAGCTTGAATAGTTCTTGGTTGATTCGATTTGTTTTTTATATTGACAGTAACAGCAAATGGTTCCCCTATTTTAACACGTTCAAGATCTACTAAATCAAATTCTACGTCTTCTTTACTTGGTTCTGGCAAAGAATAAAATCTCTTGGCCCTTTCGGTGCTACGTATTGCTCGGTATAAGGTCAATCTCTCTGCTTCCGTACCTGTTCAAAATAACTTATTGAGAGAAAAAGGAATAGAAAATATCAAAGAATAAATAATAAATGAATACATTAATCTGACCTTCTTTAGCTTTGTAAAGAGATGTTATATCTTCTCTATCTTTGTCACCGTTTGGATCAAAGATCCATGGTGCTTTCGTCAAGATCATTCGACCGATACTAAAAAAGAAAAAAGATAACAATTACATGTGTTTTTATAAGTGGACACAATTGTAAATACATTGAATCTTTATCTATTATTATTAATTAATTGTAAATGTTTCAACTTACTGATATTTGTTACAATCAATTTTAGAGTATCCCAATTCACTTTCTGGATCTTCTTTCCATCTCATAAGATCAGCATTGACGGATGCCAACATAAAAGTAACGTCATAATTATAACCAACGGCACCTTGTTTTATTGCTTCAACCGATGCTGGTCCGCATTGATAAAAACTATCTGATGGTTCTTGCGGAGTAGCGTCAATAGCTTGCCAACCACCATAACCCTTGGGTAAATCAGGCCTAGCCATCCAAACGTCGTTCCAAACGTGATAATTCCAAATGGAATCTTCACCTTCCAAATTATTTGGATCATATTCGAGTTCTTCGTTATCCGCATTATAATATCGATCAACCGATAAGGATGCATTAGCGTCGTGAGCTGATACAAGATTTGATACAACTCTTGATGGTATTCCAAGAGCACGGCAGACAGTTGTTACGACACCAGCGAATACCCAACATTGTCCATATTTGACTTCATTTTTTGTTTCTAAAAATTGTTCCAATATGGGAACACTTCCAGTCCAAGCTGCTGGTGCTGTACCATCTTCATAATCACCGTCCCAACGACCAGTTACTACACCTTTATCATCGTTCGAATTTACCTAAGAAATGTAACACTCGTTAACGATTTAGCCTTTATTTTTTAATCAAAATTAATCACTTACGATTCTTGATATCGCTCGACACATTTTAATAGGATCTCCTCTGGATACAGCCTTGATACCCGATCTTTCTAATAATAATTGACATGCCGGTAAAACGCATGCATCGAATTGACCAAAGATCCATTCTCTACCACGAGAACTTCCATATGGACCAACCCAAATCTTTCCAACATCGTTCAAAACATACTCATCGAGAAGTTGTTCATCTTCCATGAAGACCAAATCCTCTATAAAAAGTTTCCTATTTTAATAAAAATTAAATTACGATTGTTAGATAGACTAAATAATGTTTATATACCTTTTAACCAAGGATTAAACAACAAGTATATATCCTTGTCGTAATTGTACGTATTTGGAGGTTCTTTTCTACCTAGAGTCGTTGTTTCAACGTTTAATTGCCATACACCTATTGGACTGTCAACAGGACTTCTAACTTCTACAGACAAATCCATTCCACTAATTGCTACCATTCGTACACCCCATGCTTCCAAATCCGTTAAATATGAGTCTCGATTTGTTATAGTGTTAACTCCCCTGGTACCTTTCATTACATTTGGATTTGGACCAAAACTGAACAAGAGTCTAACGATATCCGTCTCATCAACGTATTCACGATTAAATCTCAATGCCATATTGAAAGCTTGACCTCGTCGTAGTACCGGTGTTGGGTTTTCTGAATGAATCATTTCGTAATTATTTGTATGATGATGTTCGGCATTCTCTTTTTCATACATGTAGACCATGTCCACGATCAATGGTTCTTGGTTCGACATCTAATTAACAGATGAACATATTTTTATGATTTATTTGACAGCTTATCTGTATACCTATGTAAATCCATTTTTCCAAGGAAAATCAAAGTTCTCTTGTTTTACATTTGTTCTTTATATAATAACACTCAATTCCACAAGTAAACATACATAATATATACTTTGTATACAAGTAGAAATAAAAGAGTATATCCGTTTTGATAAATCACGTCATCGCATGAAAGGATAAGTCTAAGAAAGATCGATGTTGCGTGATCGAATTGTCAACGAAGTTGTTACATCCCCGAATGGAATGGAAGCATGACCTCTTAAATGATTCATCGATTCCATCATTTTGTTACAGTGAAATCTCACATTCCGCGAATGTGAATAAGCTTTAAAAATAATTCCTTTCTATACATTTGGTTAAACTAACACCTATCTTGTTAAATACTTTTTAATGATATTCAAATTACAAGAGAGATCTTAAAAGAATTTAGAAAAAAATCCTGTTAACCTTCAGATTTGAATAAACGTAAAACACATTAAAAGTAGCAGAAAATGATATCCAATAAGGATAAAAGTATTCACATGTTTTTAATGATTGAACTTGACTTCTGTCAACAATTTTAATAAAAATTATTCAATATATCGAAGATATGTTGAAAGAGAAGAAATCATAAAACATCTCTAGTATTTTTTTAAAAATACACTACAGAGAATATACTATAATTTTTGAAATTTTGTAATACTATTCAGTTTATTTCGTCGAAATTTTTGTTAATTTCGGCTTTGGTGTCGATAGTATTAAATAAAATTCCTTGATGATTCGTTTATTTTTAATATAAAAAATATTGCGAGAAAATTGGTAGAGAAAAAAAAAAAAGAACAATTCATGGTAAATCTTTTTCTTGAAATATTTCTTTTATGAAATTATTTTTTTTCTTCTTCTTCTACGTTAGAAATTAGAAATCAAAAACTAAGATTGTATTTGACACATTTTTTCGTATATTTCAAAATAGAAATCATTATAAAAATTCATTAGAAAAATTCCATGGAAAAATAAGATTATTATATTATTTTGATTATAAATCTATATAGAATAATAATAATAAATAAAATTAATTAAAATTTTATATTTTGGATTTTTAAAAATTATACAGTAAAATGACTAACCTTGAATATTTTATTTGTCTCAAATTCACAGAACGTGTGTATAAACCTTTCACTTTCAGCTATCTATTTCCAAGTTAAGTTCGCGTCCGACTGACGATTAAAGACGTTTTACATCTTTTTATACAACCTGCAACATCCATCTCTTCAACCACAGTATCCCTACTACCATGATAAAAAATGCCGTCCTCCGTCGCTCTCAATTATTATCTTTAACATTCTAATTAGAGTTTCTGATTTCCTTTTAAGCGTCTAAACATTTGATCAAAGTCGAATTATTTTCCTTTTGTTAGATTTTTTCCATTTTCATTAACATTTTTTTATGTCTTAGTTAATTATTATTATTATTATTATTATTTTACATTATAATTACATTTATTTCTAACATTTAATAATGATTATTCATAATCTCTATTTCATAAAATAATTTTCATAATGTACTAAATGAAATTAAAAAGTAATTTATAAATTATTATAATAAATATTAAAGAAAAACACAAATTATTTATCTAATCTATAGATTAAAATCGGCTCTTTTCTTGTTTTATTTACGTAAAAAAAAAAAAAAATAAAAAAAAGAAGTCAAAACTAAAAATTGAAAGTAATCTATAGATATTTTATTAGTTTATTTTGACGAATAAAAATAAACTAATAAACATTTTATAATACGAGAGTTTTTGGACATGGCATCATTTCCTAACAAAACTTATCTTATCGTTAAAAAAAAATGCAATCATAATTAAGTTCATATAATACTATTTTAATATAACAACTGGACGCTGCGGTTTTCCGCGTGTTTTATCGTAATCGTAAAGGAAAAACTTATTTATTTATTTATCGTTGTAAGGATGAAAAAAAGTCCGAGAGAAGTTTTCATAAATTTTATTTTTGCATTTTTTTCTTGTGTCTGTGTATGTGTGTAAGTGGTTTAGACGATTTATGTTGTAAAGTATTGGTCACCCTTTTCTCTTTTTTTTTTTCAATTATTTATAAGTCTTCTTTCCTTTTTTTACTTCTTTTCAAAAAAAAAAAAAAAAAAAAAATAAAAGAAAACACAGAAAGTTTTATTTCGATATTCGACGAAACATAATTTACGATTTTCGTTTATAATCGATAATGTTAATCAACGACATAATTTGTTTTCTTTTTTATGTAAAAAATAAAAGATAATAGTTTCAATATATGTATCTTCATATTGACTTATCGACGAACGCAATCCGAATGTCAATGTTAAATAATATGGTCAAAAGGAGTGAAAGTAGGAGAGAAAGAGAGAGAGAGAGAGAGAGAAAGAGAGAGAGAGAAAGAGTGTGTGATCAAAATGACGATGATGATGATAATTAAACAATGATCTAAAGAAACTTAGATATCTATCAATTAAACATATTTAAATAATATTAGTCGACGCTCGGAATGCGCGAATCGATCGCGTAATGTGTTTTTTTTTTTTTTTTTACATTAATACTCAATTCAAAAATCAATCAATTTGAATTAGTGAACTATACATATTAGAAGATTTATCTGATCTAATAAGTAAAATGGACCGTGTTTATATCGAGCACCCACCTAAAAAGTCTAAAAATATTTAGATTAAGGCAAGTATAGACGATATATATGTATATATATATATAATATTATTATAAATAAGAACGTGGAATCGGTAACTTGTTCGCTACGGAATGCAGCAGCTAACGCATATTCGGCTTTCGCGGATTCAAATTGTTTTTTTTTTCTTCTTTCTTTCTATCTGAGCATCGAACAAATTTGTTGATTCTAGGACGTTTTTCAGGAGTTTCTTTTTTCCCTTTTTTTTTTTTTTTTAACGATATTTAATTATTCAATTTCTATCGAATTTGGCACAAAAATACTTGGCTACCATTGTCAACTGCGGGCTTCCTAAAACTTTGATATTAGCTTGCTAGCTAAATTTTTCATAGACGTTGCCTACAAATGTTCTATTACATTTTTTAATTTAATTCTTTTCTTCTTTTTCCTTTTTTTTTTTCTCTTGATAAATTTACACATAAGTTCACATAGCGTAAATGAAATTGTTTACTCATACATTAATGGAAAAAAGAAAGACAAATAAACATATTTTATCTCATTGAGTTATTATAAACCGTTCGAATGTCATCAAATTTTGTATCGTTACTCAGTTCTTTCTCTTCAAAGTAATGATACATGTATCATATGTGTATCTTTGAACCCGCGATATACTTAAGAAACAACATACATGATAAACATACTGACAATCATATTCCGATACACGCATACACACACTCTTTTTTTTCTTCCTTTCTCTCTCTCTCTTTCTCTCATTAGTCCCAATGCGTTAGCTTGCGTCTTTTGAAAAATCGAATCTTATTCGAACGCACCTGTTCTTCGTCTCTTCTCTATGGCACGTGTAATTATTTTGAAGCCTCGATTTACCTTGGAATTGTTCAAAGATTCGAATAGATCATAATTGAAAAGATCTATGCGAGCGAAGTTAACAATTGTGTTGCTCGTTTGATAAAAACGGGGAAAAATTAAAATACGTTCATTGCACATTTCCGTTGGGACCTCAACGACGTCGATCAAACAAAAAAGGAAAGAAAATAAATAAAACAAGAAATTTACAAAAAGGTTCAAGAAATCTTTCATTTCTACGTCGTTCGGCCATGAATATTATTTTTCACGTCTTGTTTAAACATTTGTAATAAATAAATAGATAATTTAAAACGGACGTTTGTCAAATTTTAACATTAAAAATGAAACAATAAAACGAAGATTTTATCCAAAATTTAACGAAATTTTAGCGATCACCATTATAACAATCATTAATCCTAAATTTGGAACGCCTGAATAATTATATGAAATAATCAACAAATAATTATGCATATACAAATACATACACGAAAATCAATATATAAAGGAATTTCATAATTTTTCGCCTATACATATATAATATATATATATATAAGATTTTATAAATATACATACGTAGCTAATAATATAATAATTATTATAACTGCACTTTTCTTTATTAGATCCCACGTTGTGCTCGAGGAAAATACGACCACGTTTTTTATTTATTTATTTCTCTCTTTCTTTTTTACCTCCCTTTCCTTTTTTTATTTTCTCAATTTTACGAAACATTTTTAACAATCATTTTTATTGATATTATCAATATTATTATCATTACAAATGTTCATTTCTTTCTTTTAATTAAAACCCGTAGGACGCAATTACGGGGATGATAAAAAAAAAAAAAGGAACAGAAAAGGAACAAAAAGAAGAACCAAATTTTTAAGTTATGAAAACGCGGTCGTGCATTCAACGAGATGCGTCCTCGATCCTATTATCACAGTCAATCTCCTATCTTATCATCTTTATCATCATCATCATCATCATCATCATCGTCATCATCGTCATCATTTTCTTCTTTTTCTTTCTTCTTCTTTCTTCTTCTTCTTCTTCTTCACCTTCTTTTCGTACTACATATTATTATCAATTTTGTTGAAAAATTATTTTCCATTGGAAATATAATTAATAACATAACACTATTATGTAACATCCCTTTCATATCCCAAACATTGAAAGCAAAAAAGAAACACAACGAATGCGATAGATCGAGTACATATTATTTTTCCTCGGTATGCAAAACATTATATATTTCGCGAACACTTTGTTTTATGTGTCTTTCAATTTTTCCATAAAAATAAAATATAACAAAAACATTAAAAATAAGTAAAACTTCCATAGATAATGATAATAATAATAATAATATAACGATAATATAATAGTAATAAAAATAAAAAATAAAATAATAATAATAATAATAATAATAATAGGAACATTCGTGTGCACGCGAATACGGCAACTACTACATAGTTACTTTCCTTTTATCATTATTATTTTCTCTTTTTTTTTTCATTTTTCTTTTTTTTTTTTTTAACAATATTCAAATTAGATTGGTTATGAAAAATCTTCATGAACCCGATTCATTATCGTTTCATTTTCCTTCTTAATTTTGTTTTCTCTTTTTCCTTTCCTTTAGAATATCAAAATAACTTTTAAGAGCTATTGTCGTGCGCTACATACGGATAATTCATAGAATTATGGCATTATTTTTGGCAAAAATGTGTTATAAATTCTATTACTGATGTTTGTCGAGCATATTTATCGATATCAGAAAATTAAGAAGAAAGTAAACAACGTTAATGCTCGACCAGTTGTTAAATTATATAAATTACGGACATAAGTAATCGCGAAATATGCAATTAATTCTACCTTTATGTATACATACTTGTTTGTTTTCTTTTTTATCAATATACATATATTATATGTGTATGTGTGTGTACATTTTTTTATGTATAAGTGCATGTACATCATTGTTCTATACATACATATGCATAGTGTATATATATATATATATATATATATATATATATATATATATTTTGTTTCTTCTTGTTCATGTGTTTTATTTCGCACCAGGGAACCTTGGTTACGCGTGACTAGTTTCAAACAAAATTACTTTTTTCGTTCGCCGTTAAAAAGCAACCTTTACTTCCATACTCATATTTTCTTCGCCCATCTTTCAACTCGTCATTTTCATTTTCATTAAAAAAATCGTCTTTCTTTATCTTCATCCCTATTTTAATAACAATTTTTCTAAGTCATTTAATGAAACCATCTACGAGTAACGACGAACAATAGAAAACGCAAATGCGGAAAAAAAAAAATAAAAGGCGTGATGGACTCTCGTGGTAATGATGGGGCTAAAAGGGGAGAAGAGGGCTTGATATTGTGGGAGAGAGCAAATATATATATAGAAAGAGAGAAGATGATCATCATAAAAGCGTAAAATTCATTCTTCTTTTTCATGACTGATGTGAACTGCCTACACGAGTGTCACAATCCCCGCTTTCTTTTTTTTTCTTTTTTCTTTTTTCTTGTTGTTGGAAGTTCTAATCGTGATGGGGTGCTAAACGATAATATTTTATCATCATTAATGATGTGGTGATCGCCATAATTGTCTTGCATCAGATTAAGAGACACGTTTCATACGCTAGAAAGGCGACGTATACTCCTATTATTATTATTTGGTTTAATGATATTATTATTTATCCACCCCGGGGGCTAACTCGGCGCATCTTCAGGTTCTATGGGGCCACCGGAAACAGCTGCTGATCCTGTTTCACCAGCTTGACTCATTGCTACGAATTGTTGTGACAACGTTTGCAAACTTTGCCGGACCTAGAAAATGAAAACATATCAAGTAAAAACACACTTTCATAGAGACAGAGACAGAGAGAAAGAAAAACGTAAGGAAAACTAATTATAAGTTGAATTGTTTAAATTTACCTTAGCTATCTGATCGAGATTTGAATTAAGATAATGCAAGAGTCGATCATGTGTAAAGTGTTCCGGCGAGACAAGAGGATGATTCAGATATGCCGTATGCAATCTATCAATGCGGAACATCATCATGGCTGCCGAAATATACAAAGCTGCTAGGACCACAACCAATACAGCAATGACTGTACCAGGCTTCAATCCACCAACAAACAATGTGCCAAAGGAACGAGATTTGTCCGGTGAGATTGATATCGATGGTGTCACTGAATCCATTCTAAAATAAGAAAAAAGAAATTATACAATAATAAGGAATGTGGTACATTAGACGACACCAAAGAATCTAACAAATTTTCCAATATTCATGTCCTACTTTATGTTCTATAGAGTAAGTTAAAAAAACTCTTCTCTCTAGGTGATAATATATAATAAATCATTTAAACTCTTTTCCCAGATTCTTTAAGATTATTATATTTCCTTTGGATCGTAAAATCATACAAGTCTGACTTAGTTTAGAAAAATATTCAAAGAAAAGAGTAATTTTTGATTCATCCTATACAATCCAATATCCGCGAGAAGTACTTACAATTAGTTTTGAAGTCAGTAAGTATAGTGTATGTTAATTTATTTGTATTTGTATATATGTAAAATAAGAGAGATAGACATGTAAAGAAGATTACCAACCTCGTACCAGGAACAGGAGTATGACTTGGTCTAGAAACAGTAGCTGATAAGCCATCGGTATCCGTACAAACGGTTGGTGGTCTTGAAGCAGTTTGATCGGTACCACTTTCTGACATACTCGAATCATCTTCTTCAGGATTAACTTCCGAATCGTCGACCAGCAACGCATCCGGTGGTAATAACTTAACCTCATCGGGAAGAGGTAAAACATCCGGTGAAGTTCTTGGTAATAATGCCTCGTCCCAAACCTGTTTCATCAGCTTGAAGGTCGAATCTCTCGAGAGTAAAGAACAGAATACGTGTCTCTCACCCTCCGTCGCTACCGCGACTGCATTTGGAATGATCTTAGCTGTTTTCTCTTTGCTAATCTTTAATACCGAGGCCGTCGGTATCAATAATTTTGTAACATAACCGAAAACGTTGCTGTAGAAAGCAAAGTAATTCGGTGTTATGTAAAGATGGCCTTGAAGTAGGATATCGCCCACCAGCGCACAACTGTAGTAGTTTAATACACGTTCATCTGCGGCTACCTGATGTTGAAATTTTGGAGACTAAATATTAGCTCTGACAAACTGTCCTTTTGCTTAGTCTAATTAAATTATAGTGATAATAATAATTCTTCATTTTTTTATTTATTTTTGGTGGCCGAACAAAACAATATAAGTTGGAATTATTTTGTTGCTTTTCAAAGAGATACTTCAAAATATTACATTTTGAAAGTGAAGATTGATGACATATGTTTATTATACATTTACTTTCAATTAGCACTTCAATGCATTTGTTTGTTTTCTTTTTTTTTATCCTGTTTTTATTCAAATTTAGCTAGTATTCTTTTGCTCTGCCCAATTAGAGAATGATATATTTATTTTGTCAATTACCTGAGTAAAATGCCGATGAAACTTTTTCTGTCTAGCACTGCTGGTGGACGATGGCGAGGATCTAGATGAAGATCTACTGATCTTCGCTGGAGTTTGAACAGTTCCACCGGCTGCCATCGATGGAGTACTCCTGCTCAATGGCTTTGAAAGCTGACTGAAATGATAGAAAGAAACATTGTAAAAACAAACAAGAAAACCAATATAATTATGTTTCATTTAACTGATAGAATTCAGTATATTGTATATTTCGTTTTGATTCCCAAATAAAATAATCTTTTTCAAGGTTATTTTTACAGAGATACAAGAAAGACTTTACAATGGAAGTATACGTCGATAGCTTCGTAATCAAACATTATCGATCCAATCTTTATCTTGATGTCGTATATTTTAACAACGAAAATATGTAGAATTATGTAGGTATTTTACACAATAAATTATATTCAGGTCTCTATCATGATCTATACTTTGTAACACAATGGATATGTAAATATCACGGTATTTGCTAATGTAAATAAATTCATTTAATACAACGACGATAAGAATTTGAACATTTTCTAGTCAATCGATTCTATTGATTTTACAACCAGATATTTTAATTCAAAGTTGCAACGGATTATATTCTAAATATTAGATAGAAAATCTAATATTCCTTTTTGCAGAACTATTTTTGTATTATAGAAGCAGTGAGATGCGAAAGTCAACAAATTTTCTTTAAATGGAAATCGATACTTTAGGTTTAATAAAAGTAGTAAAGAATATCAAGACCAGACTTAATGAGCATATATAGCGTAACTTTCCATCGATATTTCATCGTGCTCAATTGAGACGTCTAAAATGACATACCCTGTATAGTGCACATAGATTCAAAATGCAATACTATAAAACAAGCACTCTCAATGATATACTCTTCAATTATTAATAAACTTTACACTCTTCGACCTTTTAATGTATATTAAACTTTTACGTATACTTATATATATAAAATCAAAAAGATAGAATAAAATGAAAGTATAATTAACTCATTTAAATCATTGTTGGTAGTGCTCGACACTGAATTACTCCTCGAAGTTTTCGTTCTGATAGTAGCACCCCACAAATCGTTGCTCCAAACGTCAAATCTAATTCCATGCATCTTGTTGTTTCGAATTTGATCGAAACGAAAGAGCAATTAGGACGATTGCTAAAACTCCTTTCCTTTTCTTCTTTTTTAATCGTATCACTACGTGATACGTTAAAGGAAAGAGTTCACAAGAAAATAAACACAAAAATAATACACACAACAAACACGTGGGTATACAAATACACACATAATGTATTATAAAAGATTCTTCAAAATAAAACTTTCACTTGGACACGAGTCCCAATCCGCAACGTTCAAATCATCGTAAGTTAATAAAATGCTAATAACGCATGTTTCTGCGTTAGGTCTGCACACAATTTTCGATAAGACACGGTCACGATTAAAGTGAGATCTGCGAAGCTTATCGAGACAGTTGCAGGTGGAAGACCTAACTTTTATCTAACTAGATCAACGCTCGATTGATATCGTTATAAACGAAACGAACAAAAAATTTTCAACCATGTGACGTAGGACAGATATAGATTCTATTTCGTAACAACGATAAAAGAAATTGTTTTGGAAAAAAAAAAAAAATTAGCGAGAAGGGATGACGAAGATTTCTATTTAAAAACTAACGGAAGTAAGATCTATCGATCTCTATCGATCCCTGTCAATACTATTATTCTTGTCGACAAACAGAAAGTAAAAGTTATCTAGAAAATCTATGTTACTTTTCTTATCATAAATCGGGGTTTTAGAGGGATAAATAGGAAAACACTGATAACTATTACATTTTCTTTATATATATATTGCCGGATGAGAATGATTTATATGTATGATCGTAAAGATCACTTATTTTTTTACCTATCAACTTCCGACAGCTGTATAAATAAAAACAACTACGCTTTTATAAGAACACACAGGTGTCTCTTTATCGCATTATCATTTTCCAGATCTTTATCGATCGCGATCGATAATCATTTTGAAGTACGATGAATTCGATGAGTTTTCTTAGAAAATGTTTCAACGTTTTATCTTACCTGTCGTTACATCTCAATGCTGCATGACTTGGACTTCTTGGTGGTTGAGAAATTTGAGTATTAGCAACAACAGTAAGCTGGGAAGCACCACCGATTGATTGTTGACTCGTTTGCGGTACTCCAGGCGTTGTTGTTTGTAATGGTGTACTTGGTGCCGAACGTGCTCCTATGGACCCCGCAGACCTAATCATACAAATTTAATCAATTATATTATTTATCGACCGATTTAGTGTTAATTAGAAAATCATTTAAAAAAAATATCAATAAACCTTTTTAGCAATGTAAATAAATAACGAGAGATAACGTTTATGATAGATTGGAAAATTTCATTTAACACTAGATTTACTGACTAAGACAATTTGACTCATTTCAAATTTTTTTGCTACATGTATATGAAACTTAAATATTATTTTTTCAAAATATATGTTGGCTTTTAGTTACGTAATGTAATATATTTAAATATTCATTACTATTTTCTAATCAATCCTTCATTTAAATAATCTTTGTAAACATTAATAAATAATGAATAAAACATCCGTAAATCTAGTGTTAAAAAGAAAAAAAAATAAGCACTATTAATATTTTACCTAGCTCTCGTTATTGTACCAGAAGATAGGCAAAGATCGATCAAAGCACGAGTTTCGAACTCCATCATGTCGTTTTATTTCACAATTAGTCAAATTTGTATTGATATAAATATGATATTTATGTAAAAAAGAAAAAAGGAAAAAAAAAAAAACGAAAAAGATTCGAATTCTCGTATTAAAATTACTCGTCTCAACGATGATTGTCAAATTCCAACAATCGACGCGAGAACAAATTAATTTATTTAAATATTACATCAGGAGAATCAAATTTCTCAATGAATATTAAAATATTGAAAAATTAATAGTAGCCACGTTGGTATCGGCACTTTTTGAAGATCATTCTTTTAGATGAACGAACTCTTGCACCCAAAGTTTTAAATGCCAAACGTGCGATAAATATAAAACTCATTTTTGAATGATTAGAAATTGAAATATGCGACAGAAAATAATTTTGATAATTTAAAAGAGACGGGTTGTTTCAGCTCACACTCAGCCTTCCTCGGACCAGCCGGGATATAAGACTGACCGACTTGATTTCGACATACGTAGTTTCAACATATATCATAAGTAAAGAGGAAAAAAGTAGAAAAGAAAAACTACAACCCCACTTTAGCTCTGACCTTTCGATCTTTTCAATCATTAATTCACGCACTTTCTTTAACTGTCGTTCCAAGTTCTCAAGGTATTGTAAGTCCTCAGGATATTTTGTGAAAATGTGTTGGAAAGAAAAGCTATTCTTTTTCATCATTTTTCACCCTATTATTTTTATTCTACAATATGAGTAGTGACAATCAATTAATAGTTGTTACTTTCATGGGTAAAAGAAAATACCAAAAAAAAAAAAAAAAACAAAACGAAACTAAAGTGAAATGAAATTAGAGTTGCGAAATCGATTAAGTCGATCAAAAAAGGTGATCGATTGAAATTTAGTATCTATGATCACTGAACACACCCTATGTGATAATGATTCAATATCTGCGTATACATATATATATTTATATATATTTACTTATATTTATGATTATCTTATACCACGTGGCGGTCACGGGCATTTCTAAGAAATCAATTGCTTTTTTTTTCTATTCTTTCTACTTCATTAAAAGTCTACTTTTTCTTCCCCCTTTCTCTACTTCCGTTTCTTATTTTCTGTGTCATTTTTTCTTTCTTCGTCCCTGTCCATAACATTTCGTTTACATTATTAAAATACGCCAGGTGTTCTTCTTCCTAGACTTTCTCTCGAAGGACATTATTGAATGACGTAATACTCTATATATGATAAATATAGACAAATTTGATCAATTTTTATGCAATACAGGATATATTATATGTATATATATATGTATAAAAGATTATATCTATACGTTAAACGTTTTATGTAAAATAACTCACATGACACGAGTTGTTCAGTCTGTGTTCGTGAAACGTTGAAGACACAATATGTTGTTTAAATAACATCTTCTATTCTTTTTATTAAAAGTAATCACTCTTTCTCTTTTATATACAATTAAGTATTGCTGATAAACAATTAAAGATACGATCATTACTATTTCGATGAAATATTTGTGATTAGTGACAAAGCACGAAGTAACTTGAAACTGTTTACGCCCACATTTTTATAATAAAATATAAAAACGATCTGTGTCATACACATATGAAAAATCCAGAGCAGTTTTTTACTCGATAAAACTGACAACTAAATGAAAAATGAATATTTTTGTGATAACCGTAATGTATTATAATTTCCGTGACTGATTATTGACTGATTATGGATGAGGGATTAAAGTTTTATAATGTTAATAAAAAAACCGCATTATAAAAATAAAGAACAAGAGAAAATGAAGACATGGAAGAAAAAAAGAGAAGGGGAAGAAAAAAAAAAAAAAATAGTTAAAAAATTAATTTCTCAAAGGTGTAAGTAATGTTTTAAATTATTTTAGAATACTCTTGACTCAACCTTCATAACTAAATATTTCTTTCATTTTAAGAATGAAATGTAAATATTAAAAAAAAAGAAAATAGCATAGGAAATTTTCGAATTCTCGGCAGTATATATACAAAATACTTTGTGTGTATGGAGAATGCAAGCTATGACAATAAAAAATAAACAAATCGATTATAAAAACTGTACTGGAATATCTTTAGAATTCAATTTACATTTCTACGTTTAAACGTTAACAAATATTTTCAAATGCAATTCTCTTTCTTTCTCTCTCTCTCTCTCTCTCTCTCTCTCTCTCAAATGCAAAATAAATATCTATTTGATTTTTTTTTATTTCGAATTAGATTTCTATATTTTCAAATATTTTATAAAACAAATTATCGAAACGTTTTTATTCGATAATATGTTTATAAATCAAATACAGGTAGGTTTTGGAAATTATCGTCGTTTTATTACGTCAAACTGTACTGACCTTAACGCAGATGATTTAATTCTTGCTTTTTTTTTTTTTTACAAGAAAAAAGTTACATTTAATTTCTTTCAATAATAATAACAACCTTTACAGAGAATGCATTGACGCAAAGGATGGATGACAGATAATCGAAGAAATAAATAGATGTAAATATATACTAAAATTCTATATGTATATATTGTTTGTTTTTTTTTTTTTTTTTTTTTTTTTTAATTCACACCTATAATATTTTTTCTCTAATTCAATATTCTTTTTCACTATAACCATCTTTTTTTCTTGTATTTTAGTTTGCCATTAGGAACTGGACGAGATTCGATTCATCGATGATCGATTTTTTGTTTGGAAGATGAAAAATCAATCGAGATTTTTAAGAAAAATATTGCTCTTTTTATAATCAAGGAATTGTTCAATGTTAAGTATTAAATAATATCTTTTCATAAATAATTGATATATTTTTATTTAGGTAATACCGATGAACTATTATATTGATTTGTCATCGTGCCAACACGTTACAATGATAAACAAAGTTTGATTTATCGTTTTAAATGAATTAATCTATTATTATTATTATTATTATTATTATTATTATTATTATTATTATTATTATTTCTTTATTCAAAAAGAAAAGAAAATAAGTGTCGTCAAGAAAATGAATCGAGAATTTGAAAATGATCGAGACGGTCGAGAAAATGTTTAAACTCAGTACGAAGCATGGGTAATACGTGGTTGGCTAAGCGTATGCATTATTTTTAGAATTCACGCTTCGTGTCTAACGCATGCACGTGGATAAAACGTTTGTACAACGTTATGGAGAAGAAGAAGAAGAAGAAGAAGAAGAAAAGGGATGGAAGAAGAGAAAACATAAAAATACGAACGAATTAGCCATATTTATGCATACGTTGATTATAAAGATAAGAAAGAAGAACGAATACAAAATCCAAATCTTATTCAGATTTCTTCAGCACACAAAAAATTACCATACGAGTATGGTAAGAATTATTTATCATGATTCAATGTGGGATATAGAATTGAATTAACAACTATTCGTCGCCTTATAACGCGTTGTTCAAATAAATTTATTCCGATATTGATCGATCGGTCGACCTTTTAAGAAGGCACAAAAAAAAAAAGAAGAATAAAAAACAGATAAAAAAAAAAACATCGACTACTATTACATTATGCACTCAGTCTCTAATCTCAATGTAATATCTATCTGTTCCGTCGCCAAATGCAGCTTGTATACATCAACCGAGTTGATTATGAAGTAGGTAGTTCGTCAATGATGATGTTCTCTTTTGTAATCATACATATTTTGTTCGTATTGAATGTCGAGTGTGACTCTCACAATCATTGAACGAGTTACATTGTAGTGTCATATCTTTATCAAATATTTTCAACACACACATACACACACACTTTTGTAGTTTTACAATCTGGATAATAGAATTAGCCTATTTTTTGGGGGACAATTCTTTACAAGCGTAAATATTTATCTGGAACAAGGAGAATTTTCCAAGTAACGCGTGCTTGCATTCGACTTTCGTAAACGTCTCGATAGTTCGACTTTAAATTTAAACTTGCTCTTTTTCTCTCTCTCTCTCTCTCTCTTTCTCTCTTTTATCATTGGAGAACAGTGTATTGTTCCATAAACTTTTGCTTTTCCTACACTATTACTTTTTCTTGTTCTTTTGTTATATTATAACAAATATCTTTATATTTGTACGTTGAATAAATCGAAAAATTCGCGATGCATGTATTTCGATATATCAAAATACAGTTGACCTAATTTCATCGTTCTTCTTCTTCTTCTTCTTCTTCTTCTCATTGGATAATTATTTTTTAATCATCGAGAGGACACGATTGACTCTAATTATTTAGATTATACAGACCGGTATTTCTCGTTTTACAATTATACTTCCTTCTTCCTAAAGGATAAAAAAAGAAAAGAAAGAAATAACTCGTAAACATTATTAGTATTCGGTCAATGATCCGATCCAATTCTATTCGATTCGATCTTATTTGGTCTTTCTTTCTAGAGAGAAATTTTGCCTTTCAAATATTAACGCGTGTTCTACTAAAATAGACGGCGTATACAATTACATGGTAACATATTTTAGCATGCTAAATTTTGAACTCGCATCAAATAATCATTGTAATTGGGAGGATTCATTGTCTTTCGTTCATT